AAAAATTGTGCGTTTTGAAATGTATTGAGGACGGTCATTTGGTCTTTTTAAACGGTTTTGAGACGCTAATTATAGACCTAAAAAGCCTACAATAGTGTGTCGGTGGACTGAGCGTTTTTGAAAGATATATTTTTTAACATCTGAAAAATATTGTTTCGCTGATTTCTAACAGTGTCTCGCAAAATTACCAATTTATTTTAGTTTCAGTTTTCATCCTCACACAGTCTAAACCATTGAAATCTTGATCAGTTTTTTTGCATGCAGTTATTGGTGTATCTCTCTTGCGCGGCAGTAGTTTCTCCAACTCGTCGAATGCATGCTTTCAGTTATTATCATGTAGAGGTAGTGATCTACAAGCAAAATATCTGCCGCCATTGGCTGCCTTTCAGACAGGAAAACAAAAGGAGTACTTCCCCTAAACGAAGTCATTGAAGGAACACCTGTCCTTAGTATCCTGACAGAAAACCACTCTTAAGCCAAAACAGCGAACACTAACTTTATAACTGAAGTAAATGAAAACACAATGCCATACCACCCCTCTATACTCAAACAAACATACGCCAAGACAGTTCGAAAATCAACCCTGAAAACGCGATCCCTCAGGTCTAGATGCGTGCGAATGGAGAATGATATTAACTTCTTTCAACCAGACATCCATTGAGCTTTGCAAAACAATTGCTAAACTATTCTATACAATAGCAAGTAAAGTTCTCCCCCATGAAAACCTAACGGCGTAAAACTGGTGTCGCTTGATACCTTTGAACAAAAATCCAGGGGTACGTACACTTTTCGTAGTTTGACTGAGCAATGGTAATTTTTTACTTAGCCCTAATCAGACTAGAATTTAACTGGCTAGGTCTTGACGGTTGAAAACGAGTGGAATTAAGGTAGCTGACGCCTTCCAGTCGTCAATAAGTACTTTTCTACGCTCAGTCTTTGTGTAATGTGTGGGCGAAAGATACACAGCAACGGAAAGCGAAATTGAAAAGACAGCTACCCTAACGGAAAAGCAACAAGATCCTGCTACACAAAGGGAGTTTAAAATAAATTAAGCTTTCTAACCAGAAAAACTCCAGAAGCATTTACGAAAATGGATGAAATTGAGAAAAAGGTAAGGCAGCAGCTACGTCCTAGTATTACTGGTAAAAACCATATAACCGATGATTATCGCAACCTTTTTGCACTACCACTAAAAATGGGAGAATTAGTCCTCCTCAGTAACACGGACTTTTCTAGAAACTTTGAGTGTTCACAAGCCATTTGTGATCCGTTAGAAAACAGTGATCCAGAAAGAGCTGAAACAGAACAAACTCTGATTAATAGAAACATCAAAGCTGAGAGAAAGAAAATCACACTCTCAAAAAAGGCTAAAATTATGGAAAATTGCTCATCAGAAAATAAATCTAGCGTCACAGAAAGGAGCATCCAGTTGGCTCAGCGTGTTACATCTTTCATAGCTGACATCAGCGTGTGGTTGGATATTTTGAAGAAAAGCCTTCAAAAAAAACTTTTATATTGGCCTTAAAAAGCGGTAGGAATACTCAGGGCAGAACTTGAATTCATTTCGCAACATGTGGAATCACTTTGAAAGCAACTGGAATGAACAGAACCTTTGCAGATGGACTTTTATTTGTTTGGTGAAAACTGTCGCGCAAAGCCTAGACTTTGAACAGCGGGGCTAACACCCCAGTGGTATATCCACAAATTCTTAATAATAATATACAAGCAGTCTTGTTATGAACGAAGCGATCTATGCACTGAGAGAATTGGTTGTTTCTGGGAGAAATGCGGAAACTTGAACAAAGCAAATTTCATCCAAAAACTTGAAAAACTTATGATAGTATTATTCCAGCCAAAACTCTTAAATAGAACAGTATCATCTCAGGCAAAACTGAGTCGTACGGGGATGTACATTTCCCTCTAGGAGCTATCCTAAATTCCTTTTTTTTATTATAAATTAGAAACTGCTTCAGTGAAAGTTTCCACCGAAACGGCTTTGGTGAAACTGCTTTAGATATTAAGCTTTCTTATATTAAACGTTTGTGCAATCTGTGTAAAAGGTGCTTAAGCATTAATCATAATCATAATAATTTTGATTATTATCATTATTACACAAGCAAAACTTGTGTTATAGTAGTAACTTTTTTTGAAGAGGTTTTTGATAAGAAGTAAAACTCAAACTTTTCGCAACTATGCGCATCGTAAAGTTTTCTACAAAACAATAACCTACATGACAATAAAACATCAATTTAAAAATGTTATGTACAATAATTCGCATAAATTTTGCTTCTAAACCATCATGTTAAGAAATTAGCCAATCACAGTTGATTTCTGAAATTTTTATTTAAATTAAAATACCTTTGACTTCTAAAATTAAATAAAAAATTTTTAGCTAATTTTTCTGGAAGTTCCTGAGTCATAACTTTGATTTAAACATGCACGTTTCATATGAAAAAATCCAAAAATATTTCGGGACTAAATTATTATTATTGTTAACTCCCTGCTCCAAAATTCATCACGCGTGTTCAAGCCTGTTTTTTTTCTGATATGTATTGCTTCTAGCGTTAACCGTTTTATGGGTTGTTCGACCTAGCTAAAACTTCCCAACTAAGATCTGCGCTATTTACCTCAATACTGCATTGCTGAAGGGGGAGGCCTACCGGTGAGTCTGCTTTCTTATGTTCCTCACTCCTGGTGGTCAAATGTCGAACATAGCTGAAAGTGCATCCATTATTTGAAAGTTTTGAAACCACTCTTAGCTTGAGGTCACTAGAAATTGCTGACTTCAGTGATGGTAAACAAGATTCTAATTTTCTTGTAGTGAAAACCACTTGAACGTTGGCTAACTTTCGTAAACTGCTTTCAAAATTTTGGTTTTGGTACCCTATTTCCTGATATAAATTGCCTCTAGTGTTTTACTTTTGGAGTAGCATTCTCCTTGTTCTTAGCGCCGCAGCAGCTTTTTTGCACAATCAGCATTGGGGCCTTCACATCCTTTGGTGATTGAGTTGATGAACTCCTCTCACTATCCAGGGGCTTGCCCTTACCCTCGATGATTTTGCACAGGACGTTTGCCGACACGTTTGCGGACGATTTTTCGGGGTACTTATTTGTCTGCCATTGCGCTCTATTAGTTCCATAGCCTTATCAAATTGTTCCCTGTTAGATGTTCTCCTAAAACCTCTGTGTGCAGTGCAGGGAGCACGATACTATATCGATAGTATCGTTCGATACATCAATATATCGATACTCGATACCGATACTTTTTTTGTCTCCGATACTTCGATAACGATATCGATACTCGATCTGGATTTATCGCAATTTTTGATGGAAACGATACTTGAAATTTTAAATTCCGATACTTTGTCAGTTTTCGCTCGGTCGGTCATTATAATTTTCACCTTAAATTCCTTAATTTCACCTTTTCAGTTTTCACCTTAATTTCGGTCCACTTAAATTTTCGCGTTCACGGAGTCTATTTTAAGATACAATACAAAACGATACTTTTCCCGATACTCAAAAGCTATTTTCAGAAAAAACGATACCGATACCACTTAAGCAGCAAAAACGATACCGATACCGATACTTCAAATTAGATGCCCGATACCGATACCGGAAGTTTGTCGGTATCGAAGTCCCTGGTGCAGTGCTATGGATAACACTATGCTTATACTGAGTTGGGGCGCAGCTTCTATAGTTCAGTATAGTCCCAATATCTTGTTTGGTTTTCGATACAAATTGGAGGTTACACCCCTATCCTGCGATACATTTATGTTTTTCTTTTCCAACCAAAGTTAAAATGCGTCCGCTCTATAAATTGAGGCATGTTGGTAACTTTCTTTCTTTTTCAACTTGACTACTACTGCTGATGCGTCATAATTGGCTTGCGCCACTTATCAATTATTCAGACTCATAATTGGCGTGCGTCACTTAAGAAAATTTGTAGACTCAAAATTTTACTCATTCAGTTTTCCCAGTAGCGTTTTCGGTCATATTTTTGATTGTATATGCGACTTCGCCTGTGATATTATTATTATAATAATTGTTTTGCGCTTTATTATTTTTTTCACGAAATTTTCAAATCCCCGCAGGTTAATCAGAAGGTCAAAAGTATCATAGTAACCGAGGTTACAGTCATGAGTCCCTTCATCATGTATTCCAGTCAAAATCCTTGGAGTTTTCTAGATATGGAAGTGATAATGATAAAAGAAGATGACAAGTGTTTAAGTCCTTTTCAATTAAAATCGATACGGGTTACGTTTCTTCAATAAGAACACGCAACTCGACACGAGATAATATAATATACAAGTGTTACAAGTAAAAAAAAATTTCGTCGAAAGTTATTTTGTCATTTATTGTTCCGAGTACGCAAGCGGCGTTCGCAATCTGTATTGCCAGGGAGATTCTCTGTTTTAAAAAGCTGCCTGCTCTGGGTTCCTCAGTGCATATGCTTAGGTTCTTACAAAGCTTGCTCAAAAAAACTTCTGTGCTGGGGCCGGCCGCGCCCTGAATTTCAAAAGCTAGCGGTTGATAAAGATATCCATCATTTACAAGATCTTTATACTTGTCAATTAATTTTTCGCTCTTCCGCTTCAGCGGCAGCCGTACCAGGGTTACAAACAGACCCGGCATTAATCCTACAAGGAGCTAAGGAGTCTACTACCGTTACATCCCACAAGAGCTGCTTACCATCAGCCCATGGAACGAGCGTCAAACCGTCTGGTCGCTTCTGATCGGTCCTGTAGAGGTGTCGTGGTTCTAAAACAGACGGAATGTGAGTAGATGATAGACTCTGCTTTATAAGGGCATTCAGGTTTGAATGCCTAGAGAATCTCCCTGCACTTTTGAGGCAAGAAAGACCATGCCAACCATTGTTTTCCATGCTGTGTCTGTCTATCAATTCTCTTCTATTTTGCATCATGGGATTTTTCACGAACGGGCTCGACAAGTGAGAAGTTTATAATAGTTTAAAGCGATTTATTGTGAATGTATTGTAGTTTCAGAGATCTTTGTGAAATGCCGCTAGAATTCGAAATAATGCCCGAAAGGGGTATGACGAATGATTCTATGGAATTCACGCTGGGAATGCCATTCCAGTTTGCTGTCACCACATTGAGAAAACAACATACAGTTGTAAAAACAGTTCACGTCATTTTCAACGAACAAGATCCATTGGAGAACGATTTGATAGTTGCGTTGCCGTCCGATGGCCTCAGACTCTATTTTGATCCCTTTTCCCAGACACTGAAAGTGATTGAAATAGCCGACTTGTCGTTGATAAAGTAAGTTCCTTTAATGGGTTAATATCTTCAGTACATTCGAAATTACAAGTGTTATCAAATCAAGCAGCAGAATGTTTAAGGAGAACAATTTGTTCAACAGAAACACTTAATACTATAACACTACAGCCTATAAAAGCCACTTCATTATGGACGTTTTGTACAACACCACATTATCAGCGTGGTCGTTGCTAAAAATTTTGGAGGTATTTACTACAATATACTGCAAACCTGAGAATTTTTTCTAAGTCATGATTTTTCTGTTTGTGCCGCTAGCCCTTTTTAAAATAAAGCATATTTGTGATAAAGAAAAACTGAAAATGTGTTTGAGAAAATAAGCGTTAATGCTAAAAGTACCAGTTTTTTGGCCAAATTGTGTTCTGCGAACTTCGCATCAAGCTTATTCTCAGTTTTGCTTTGCTTCAAATTTGCTTTGTTTCAAGTGGAGCAAAATACCAAGGAATTTGAAATTTTTGCAAACCAGGTGTTTCCAACGTGCAATAAAATTGATGTTTTTGTTGATTTTTTTTCGATCTAAGGTTTTTCTGCATTACGTGTATCAAGTTTTTTGTTCCGACTAGTGAAAATTTTATTTTAATTCAATTATATAGGTCTTGATGATTTTTTTTTCAGTAAAACAATTAAACTTGTTTTGCTCAAATTTATTATTTGAAGTTCAGTTCATTTTCTTTGTTGAAAGGAAGGCAAACTCACCTATCGAACAGCAAGGAAAAGAATACGAAAAATGTGAATGAATTTTTGTTTCAACTATGGACTTAATTTTCCTAATTTCACAGTGGAAAGTTTACCTACTGATCCAGTTTTTCTAAATGGATAAGTGTCCGAAAAAAGTGCCAACTATTAGCAGTATTTGAAATTCAAAGAGGTTCAACGTGATACGTTTTTATTTCGAAAATTGAAAAAATTTCGAACATTTAGGTTTCCTTGTTCTCTTACACTTTTCAACTGTCTGTTGGCTATGTTTTCGGTTCCTAAGCAAAATAATAATCACAAAAAATCATCGGAATGGGTCGAAAGATATATCATATTAAAGCACTTGATGAGTCGTGATTCGTAGGGATTCAAAAATTTTTTCATAAAATTGTCTCAGTGTCCAGTAAAGCGATCGAGTAACGTACATTATCCGAAAATTGGTCATTTACATTAGTAAAGCTTAGTTTTATTAGAAAGAAAACTAATTGTGGAAGCTTAAGATGGCGCTAAGTTTGGCAATAATCATTTTCTTAAAACTTTAAAAATATATATTTGCTCAAAATAGAATGTTTTTTGCTCCGACCATTAAAAATGGTGAGGAACTTGGTATTCGGGCGTTTTTTCCTCGCAAAACCAGGTACTACAAATTATCATCGGAATGGGCCGAGTAATTAATATCAAATTTGAGCTCTTTGAGTCGTGATTCGAATGTTGTTGATTCGTTTGAATGGGCCGAGTAATATATCATATTAAAGCCCTTTCAGTCGTGATTTGAAAGAAAAAATTGTACCAGCGTTGAGAAAAACTGCCTCTGAAATTTTTTAGATTTAGTTTAATTTGGAGCAGGTAACGCGATCGATTAACGTTTGTTATTACGCTTGCGAATAGAAAGCGTTATCAAATTGGAATACATATTTTTTTCTAGTTAACAACTAATTTAACAAAATCAGTTGAATCACTTGCTGACTATGCAGTTGATTTCTTTTCTCTTCTCTTAACATCTTGCAGGTTGCTTCCCCCTGGCCTGGAGGTAAAGCAGTTGCCTCTGCATTCTAAGGTCTGGGGTTCGAGTCGTAGCCGGACCTCGTTTTTTTCAGTATCAATGAAATTGAAGAAAAAAATCCGAGAAAATTGAATTGTAAGCTTTTTGTTTGTTCGGTCAAGTTTTGTCGACTAAATTGTGACTACGGATTTTTTCGTGCTGTAGATAATTTTCATTGTAGTTGCAAGTGTTTTTCCTCGTAATTTCAGTGGTCCTTGAAAAATTGTTTAAAAATAATTCTTTAACTCTTCTTATTTTCGGTTCAGTTGGTGTCTTCTGTAAGCAACTTTCATTGTAGTTGCTACTGCAAGTGCTGTTCATTATAGTTTCAAGGATTACTTGAAACGTTTTTAAAAAATCAAAATCCATTTTTTGTTCTGTTAAATTGGTTTCAGCTCGAAGATTGTTGGCTTGCTGCCGCATCTGATTTTTCTTGTGCTCTAAACAACTTTCATTTTAATTAGCAGTGAATGTGTTGTCCATTGTTGTTTAAAGTGGGGCTTAAAACTTTTTTTATAAAATATTTTTTTTCGGCTCAACTTGTTTCTGCTCAAAGATTGTCGGCTTTGTTTTTTTCGTAAGTTTTGTTCCGTGAATTTTGTTTCGTAAAGTTTGTTCCATTGCTGATTTACAATTCAAGTGTCTGGCATGGTCGCCTGGAATGAACTTCTATCGAGATATGTGAAAGTTAATATGACCTAGTTTTTTTCAAAATTTTTATTTTGGTTTTCGGCTTTTAATGTCTTTTTTTATGTGTGTGTTGTAACGCGAGTGGTGCGAAGTTCCGCTTCGCCTCTGTGTATGGAAATTTGTTGCTGTTTTTTCTGGTTTTACTGACTTTTAGGATAAAAAAATTGATTTTACTATAAAGAAAGCAAGTTTTGGATGTTTCATGTAGCCCTTGTTTGGCATAAAACCGGCTAGCCTTGCTTTCATTTTTAATTGTTAGTTCTCCGTTTTTTGAAGACAACTGTTGTCGATTCTGCTAAATTGACAACCTTTATATGAATTTTAATAGTTCTCTCGTCACAACAAGCACTAACAATGGGACTAATTTTAAGAAATAAGGAAAACTATTTTTGTAGTTTTTATCAATGTTATGAGGGCTGTAATTCGATTAATCTATACGAAGAGAAATGTCTTGTTCCAGCTCTGTGTTAAGCAAATGTTGTCGTTTTCACAATTTTTGCTTTTATCTGCCTTGTAATTTCTTTTGTTGGTTTTAGGATTTTTTGTGACTTTCCAACACTGTATCATTGATTCTAGACTTTTCTGGTAGCGATTTCAACAGATTATAATATTATGCATGTTATTAAGCTGCCATAAGATATTTTTGTTTGTTTTCATTTTTTTGCTTCCTGAATGTTTTCTGTTCTTCACACTTGCGAAACTTTAGGAACTTCAAGACCTTTTGCTCCTTGGTCTAGAGATAACGGGGATGCCTTTGTACCGTTAAGTATGCGGTTCGAGTCCCGGCAGGACTTTATTTCTATCAGTATGTATTGCCACATCGAATTTTTTGTGCTGTCAGCAATTTCCATCGTATGTGGAAGGTTTGGTTTACTCTTATCCAACAATGTTTTTTGGTTTACTCTTATTTTCCTTTTTCTTTTTTTTTAGCTCTAAAACTTTCTTAAGTCTTACTGGTTTCAGTTTATTTTTTTTTGGCGTAGGCAGCGTAATTTGAGTCGCGTCAAAGGCAAAAATAATTGATTTTTTCAATGCAGGTAGTTTCTGTTGCAGGATTTCAAAGTTTTATATTTTAATTGCTCAAACTTTTTTATGACTACAGTTTTATATGGTATCTTTTGTTTTAGGCTAAATGGGCGTCTACCCTTTTGTTGTCGGCTAAGGTGCCGCTCAGTAAATACTTGAAGCTTATTTATTACTGGTGGTTGTGTTTTTCGACTATTTTTCTGAAATTATTTTCATTTAATCCCAAAAAAGTTTTTTTTTCGATTCTCTTATTTCCTCATTTTCTATTCGCTAGCTTGCACTGCTGCGTTTGAGTTGTATCGCAAGTGGTGCGAAGCTCTGCTTCGCCTCTGTTTTGAAATCTTTAATCCCTTATTGCGAAGTTCAGCTTCGCCGCTGTGCTAAATGATTGCTTGCCTAATATACCATTTTTTCAATTCGGCTTTCAATTGTTTTGTTTTTGAAAATGTAATGAAATGTTTCAGCCTTAAGTACTGTGGATCTGTCATAAGCCACAACGGTGAAGTTCCTTCTCTAGACAAAATTGACCACTGCTTCGGGGCAACACATCCCGGAGTGTATGACGCAGTTAATCAGATGTTCGAGCTCAAGTTTAGAGGTCTTCAATTCCAGTTTCCTGCAGATCCCAACTTGATATCTTCACAGATGACAGGACTTGGAGCTATACAGTTCAGTGAGCCTCCTTTGGTTAGTAATGCAAATAAATCAAGTTGCTGTTCCAATATTCGTTACTAATAGATGAATTAATTGTGGTTTCTGCGATTCGCGGAAGGATCTATGAAAGCCTATCAGACCTGTCTAATCATAGAATGTTCATCTTATTTCCACACACTCCAGACAGCGTTAGTTTGTTGAGTGAAGCTCTTTTTTGGGAGGAATGGCCCTTTTTGCGTCTTGAACTGGGTTGGGTTAGGGTCTAGGCGGTGGTAGAGCTGAAGCTAGAGGTCAAGAGAGCTCATTCTCACAAGCTATCATTGTTATGGCAGGGGATCGAATACACGATATGTCGATTTCAAATTGAAAGCCGTACCATTATGCTAAGTGTCTTTTGAATCAATTGGAATCAATTTTTTTTGGTTGAAGATGTCTGTGTTTCGGACCAAATTATTATACGCCCCTCTGAAACAGAACAAGTTGAAATCCATCTCCCTGATGTGTTTCTCGTTGCAGTTTGCAGATCTGTAGCGTTGCGTGCGTGTTAATACGCAATGTTCTGCATCTAAAAGTACCGAAGTTAACATTTAATGAAGCGGCTTTGTAGGTGAGGGTAGGCTGAGGATGATAATAATTCCAATATTTCGTCAATCTCAGTATGTTGTGCTGTTTTTTTAAGGTGTCCAAATTGCAGATATACACTGGAAATAACCTATTGGAATGTACCGCCCCTCCTGTTCCCCCGCAATATTTCTACGGCAACATTTTTGCGGAAAAAGTGGAAGGGATTTTGCAAGACGACTACAAACTAACAGAGCTCAAATTCACGTTCATCAGAGAAGATGTGCTGAATAGCTCTGCGGCGGCTGCACGTGGTGGCGAAAAGCGAACACGAGTAGAGCGTTGGTTGCGAATTGGCGACACTTGTGACAGAGTTCTAAGCGACTTCGGAGCGCCGAATAAAATGTTCTACAAACCGGATGATAAAATGAGAATTCACACACCTTCAGGATCGAGGCTGAATGACGACAAAGTTTCCCACTATTTTCTGAATTATTTCACGCTGGGTGTTGATGTTTTGATGGACGGAGAGAAACACACAGTGAAAAAAATAATAATGCACACAAACTTTCCATGTCACTACCATTTTAATATATACCACAGATGTCAGTTTAATATTTCACTACCCCATATTGAGAGCGGAAAACAGTCCATAAAGCCGTTTACTAAGTGGGAACAAATCTCAGATATATGCAGTCATGATAAACCGGTGGTTCTTACCAGGGCGTCGTGTGATAACAACACGAACCCCTTCGGACCCACATTTTGTTACAATATTGCAAATATGATCATAGAAGTAATGCAGAATAGCTATATTGCCTCTGTCACTATTTTTGATACTGAATAGTTGTTGTATTGGCATTGTAAATATATTAAATTATGAAAGTAGTATTTAGCAGCTTAGGGGTAATTTAAATAATCATCTATTGATTGTTCTTTTTCATTTGAAACAGCACGGCTAAGGGAAAAAGGTTATATTCGTTAAATTTGAGGCAGAAGTAAAATTGTGGGATTGCACGCAGCGCGGATGAACGTAGTGAAGGCTCTATATAGGTCTTGGTGATTTTTTTTTGTTCATGAATTTTTTTTGAAACGCTCTAATAACTACAGATGTGCATTCATACCTATTAATGCCTTAGGTTCATTCTCACTTGGCATAGAGATAACGTGGTCGGCGTGGCAGTCTAAGGTCTGGGGTTTGAGTCCCGGCCGGACCTTGTTTGATTTCAGTATTAATGTAATTGAGTTTTTTCCGGTGAAATTTGAATTGCCGGACTTTCATTAGTCTGCACAAGTTTTGTCGGCTTTGTTGCCATATCATGGATGTTTTTTGCGCAGTAAGCAAGTTTCATTATAGTTGCAACTGTTGATCATTGTAGTTTAAGGGGGGGGGGGTAAAATTTTTTTTACAAGACACTTTTTTTGCCGCTCAACCTGTGTCTGCTCAAAGATTTGCAGCTGTGTTTCCGCTTCGTAAATTTTGTTCCGTTGCTAATTTAATATTGAATTGTTTTGCTTGACATCTTTGCTCTGAATGAATTTTTATCGAGACATGAAAATTTTGGTAGACCTGATTTCTTTCAACATTTTTTTTATGTTTGCGACTTCTTTTTTAAATATTTGTGTTGTATCGCAAATGATGCGAAGCTCCGCTCCGCCTCTGCGCCAATTAATCAAACTGACAATAAACTTCTTGATCAAAATTTGGAAAATTTTGTTAAATTGAGCTTCTCACTAACCTAAAAAGAATTAAGAAAGGTATAATGCCCAAAAATCCGCATTTTTAAAACTGTTTTCAAATAAAAGTTCGCCATTTTTTGTGATGTGTTTTTCATGGGCATTAGACAAATAGTATCTTCATCTTCAAAATATCAGAGAATATTTTTTATGACATTTTTTTAAAATTTTTTTAAAAAAACTTAGCGTTAAAAGACTCGTCAAATTTGAAATTCCGACCCCAATAGTGAGGTTGTGTCAGGGTACTATGAGAAGTTGCAAGTTTTGGCTCCAAATATGAGTGCTCAAAATCTTTTACCTTCCGAAATAATCTTCTTTTCAAAATTTCATACAATTATTTTACTAAAATTAGGTTTGAAAAATTTCAAAAAATTAGCAGGTCCTTATCATTTAGTTTTGGGCTGTAGGGTACTCTCAAAGGGTGGCAAGTCATGCCACCAAAATTGACTGCTCGACGTCTTTTTCCAAGATATGGCGTTTTAATGGTTTTTCAGAACAAAAACCTTAAAGATTTCAATCATTGAAAAGACTTCTCAAAATTTGAAATTGTCAACCATTCGGTAGTGCGATGTCAGCGTACTCCTAGCAGTTGCAGATATGGCCTGCTGACTATGAACGCTTAATCTTTTAATTTTTGACATGATGTTTTTTATTTAAAAAAATTATTAAAAGCTCAAATTTGATTTTTCTTTCAAGTTTTGAACTTTTCGACCCTAAGGCGGTGGGATGTGAAACTACCAAAGGGGTTGCAGGTAGGGCCTTTAAGTTTGACCGCTCAAATCTTTCGAGTGTTATCTGATCCAGTCATCCATCCATACATCCAACAAGCCATCTCTCCATTTAGCTATCCTCCCAGCTAGCAATCCATTCATCAAGCTATAAACCAATCGATCAAGCCTAAAATCATCAAACTAGCCATCCATCAATCCATCACTTTATCGAGCTATTCATCCAACCAATCATCCGCCCAGTTATTTTTCCGTCGAGCCACTCATTCAAGTAATCCATCCATCTAGCCATCAATCTATCCAACCAGCCAATCATTCATTAATCGACAAATCCATCTAGCCATGCATCCAGGAAGACATCTAGCCATCCGTCCAGCCAACGATGAAGCTATTCATTCATCAAGCGATCCATCCATTCAGCCAAGCATTCATCAAGTCAATCATCTATCTAGCCATCGAACCAGCTATCTATCCATTAATCTATCCATCCGTCCAACCAACCAATCAGCCATTCATCTAGCAATCAATTTAACCAGCCCTTCAACGAACCAGACATCGAACAGCTATATCTCCGTTCATGTAGCCAGTCATCTATCGAGCCAACCAGCTAACAAGCCATCAGTGCATCCATCAAAGCAACCATCCATCAGTTCAGTCACCTCTCAACCAATCCATCATTCCAACCAGTCCACTAGCCATCCAATTGTTCATCTATTCTGCCATACATAGATCCATTAACCGCTCTTCCTGTCTAGCACCTCTCAATGCTAACCAGCCATTCATCAATCCATCAAGCCATTTTACATCAAGCCATCGATTGATCAATCCAACCAGCTATCCATTTATCTTGATATCCGTCCATCCAACCAGCAATCCATTTATCTAGGTTTTCAGCGATCTGGCCATCCATTCTGCCTTCCATCCATTTATTTTGCCTTCCATTCATTCATCGTGCCTTTCATCGATCCGGTCAAACAGTCTTCCGGTCAAACATGCAGGGGGTCTGCTAGTATAATTTATGAAGTGAAATATATGCTAAGTAAGTGGTTAATCGAAGCTTGATAGTTAAGCTTCGAATTATTTGAATTACTTTACCAGCTACATATATAGAGCAAAAGATAAACAAGACTGCTCGTATCAGGGCGAAGCCCTGAATGTTCCGACTGCCTTTTAAGGTCTATGAAGCAGTAATAACTGGAAAAAACTTAAGGTAAAAAAATTGAATTTTTTTAATTTGAGTTTTTTTGTGAAAATTATCCCCCCACACGCCAAATAAAGTACAAAAAGATAGATTTCGTTCCTTCTAACAAATCAATTATGGCAAATAAGCTTCCTTCAACCAATTTGGAACGATTTATTAGACGGATTAAATCTCCGCTTACGCTTTATTAGCGCGAAATATATCGAGCGTTAATTGTCCCAAATTGCCAATCTTTAAACCCCCATAACTTAACAAAAAATTATCACAGGTGAAATATCTTTTCAAATTTAAGCTCAGGGCAACAATATCTTTTGGAGGCAACAATATCTTTTAATTTTTGACATGTTGTTTTTTATTTTAAAAAATTATAAAAAGCTCAAATTCGATTTTTCTTTCAAGTTTTGAACTTTTCGACCCTAAGGCGGTGGGATGTGAAACTACCAAAGGGGTTGCAGGTAGGGCCTTTAAGTTTGACCGCTCAAATCTTTCGAGTGTTATCTGATCCAGTCATCCATCCATACATCCAACAAGCCATCTCTCCATTTAGCTATCCTCCCAGCTAGCAATCCATTCATCAAGCTATAAACCAATCGATCAAGCCTAAAATCATCAAACTAGCCATCCATCAATCCATCACTTTATCGAGCTATTCATCCAACCAATCATCCGCTTAGTTATTTTTCCGTCGAGCCACTCATTCAAGTAATCCATCCATCTAGCCATCAATCTATCCAACCAGCCAATCATTCATTAATCGACAAATCCATCTAGCCATGCATCCAGGAAGACATCTAGCCATCCGTCCAGCCAACGATGAAGCTATTCATTCATCAAGCGATCCATCCATTCAGCCAAGCATTCATCAAGTCAATCATCTATCTAGCCATCGAACCAGCTATCTATCCATTAATCTATCCATCCGTCCAACCAACCAATCAGCCATTCATCTAGCAATCAATTTAACCAGCCCTTCAACGAACCAGACATCGAACAGCTATATCTCCGTTCATGTAGCCAGTCATCTATCCAGCCAACCAGCTAACAAGCCATCAGTGCATCCATCAAAGCAACCATCCATCAGTTCAGTCACCTCTCAACCAATCCATCATTCCAACCAGTCCACTAGCCATCCAATTGTTCATCTATTCTGCCATACATAGATCCATTAACCGCTCTTCCTGTCTAGCACCTCTCAATGCTAACCAGCCATTCATCAATCCATCAAGCCATTTTACATCAAGCCATCGATTGATCAATCCAACCAGCTATCCATTTATCTTGATATCCGTCCATCCAACCAGCAATCCATTTATCTAGGTTTTCAGCGATCTGGCCATCCATTCTGCCTTCCATCCATTTATTTTGCCTTCCATTCATTCATCGTGCCTTTCATCGATCCGGTCAAACAGTCTTCCGGTCAAACATGCAGGGGGTCTGCTAGTATAATTTATGAAGTGAAATATATGCTAAGTAAGTGGTTAATCGAAGCTTGATAGTTAAGCTTCGAATTATTTGAATTACTTTACCAGCTACATATATAGAGCAAAAGATAAACAAGACTGCTCGTATCAGGGCGAAGCCCTGAATGTTCCGACTGCCTTTTAAGGTCTATGAAGCAGTAATAACTGGAAAAAACTTAAGGTAAAAAAATTGAATTTTTTTAATTTGAGTTTTTTTGTGAAAATTATCCCCCCACACGCCAAATAAAGTACAAAAAGATAGATTTCGTTCCTTCTAACAAATCAATTATGGCAAATAAGCTTCCTTCAACCAATTTGGAACGATTTATTAGACGGATTAAATCTCCGCTTACGCTTTATTAGCGCGAAATATATCGAGCGTTAATTGTCCCAAATTGCCAATCTTTAAACCCCCATAACTTAACAAAAAATTATCACAGGTGAAATATCTTTTCAAATTTAAGCTCAGGGCAACAATATCTTTTGGAGGCAACAATATCTTTTAATTTTTGACATGTTGTTTTTTATTTTAAAAAATTATAAAAAGCTCAAATTCGATTTTTCTTTCAAGTTTTGAACTTTTCGACCCTAAGGCGGTGGGATGTGAAACTACCAAAGGGGTTGCAGGTAGGGCCTTTAAGTTTGACCGCTCAAATCTTTCGAGTGTTATCTGATCCAGTCATCCATCCATACATCCAACAAGCCATCTCTCCATTTAGCTATCCTCCCAGCTAGCAATCCATTCATCAAGCTATAAACCAATCGATCAAGCCTAAAATCATCAAACTAGCCATCCATCAATCCATCACTTTATCGAGCTATTCATCCAACCAATCATCCGCTTAGTTATTTTTCCGTCGAGCCACTCATTCAAGTAATCCATCCATCTAGCCATCAATCTATCCAACCAGCCAATCATTCATTAATCGACAAATCCATCTAGCCATGCATCCAGGAAGACATCTAGCCATCCGTCCAGCCAACGATGAAGCTATTCATTCATCAAGCGATCCATCCATTCAGCCAAGCATTCATCAAGTCAATCATCTATCTAGCCATCGAACCAGCTATCTATCCATTAATCTATCCATCCGTCCAACCAACCAATCAGCCATTCATCTAGCAATCAATTTAACCAGCCCTTCAACGAACCAGACATCGAAGCAGCTATATCTCCGTTCATGTAGCAAGTCATCTATCCAGCCAACCAGCTAACAAGCCATCAGTGCATCCATCAAAGCAACCATCCATCAGTTCAGTCACCTCTCAACCAATCCATCATTCCAACCAGTCCACTAGCCATCCAATTGTTCATCTATTCTGCCATACATGGATCCATTAACCGCTCTTCCTGTCTAGCACCTCTCAATGCTAACCAGCCATTCATCAATCCATCGAGACATTTTACATCAAGCCATCGATTGATCAATCCAACCAGCTATCCATTTATCTTGATATCCGTCCATCCAACCAGCAATCCATTTATCTAGGTTTTCAGCGATCTGGCCATCCATCCACCCATCCATTCTGCCTTCCATCCATTTATTTTGCCTTCCTTTCATTCATCGTGCCTTTCATCGATCCGGTCAAACAGTCTTCCATCTATTAATTTAGACTTCCATCAATCCTGCCATCTATTGATCTATCCAACGATCCGCCCATCCCAGCCAGCCATCAATCATCCGGCAGTTCATGCACACATTCAGTAGCCAGTTCTGCCTCCAGCTGTTCATCAGCGGTCTAGCCATCCATCCATTTAGATATCAATCCGTCCCGCATCCATCTATCGAGTCCTTCATGCATCCTATCAGGCATCCATGCAGCCCTCCAGTGTCGATCTAGCCATTAATCCAACTAGACATCTCCATCTAACAACCCATACGTCTAGCCATTCATTTAACAGGCCATCCATCCATTCAGACATCTCTCACTGCCGCCATCCATCCTTACAGCCATCCAATCAGCTAGCCATCCATTCATCTAGCTATCCATCGAGTCATCAATCCATCTAACTAGCCAGCCGGTCATATATTCAGGCATCAACCTATGTAGCTTTTCAACCAACTAGTCTATCCATCCATCCTTTCAATTCAGTCATCCATCCATTAAGCCATCTATTTATCCGACTACTCAGCTTCGATCGAGCCATCACGCAGGCCATCCATTCCTGCAAACATTCAATCAACTAGTCGTCCTCTAGCCATTCATCTAGACAGTCATCCCTGCGTTCATCTAGCTATCCATCTTGCCTTCAATCCATCCTTACAGTAAATCCAGCCAATGATTTAAACATCCTTTGATCCCTTCTGCCATCAACCAGTCAAACATCCATCCAACCTATTTTTCTCTTAGTGATAAAGGATGTCATTTTTCAGGAACAGCTAGCTGCAGGGGGTCTGCTAGTATAATTTATGAAGTGAAATATATGCTAAGTAAGTGGTTAATCGAAGCTTGTTAGTTAAGCTTCGAATTATTTGAATTACTTTACCAGCTACATATATAGAGCAAAAGATAAACAAGACTGCTCGTATCAGGGCGAAGCCCCGAATGTTCCGACTGCCTTTTAAGGTCTATGAAGCAGTAATAACTGGAAAAAACTTAAGGTAAAAAAAATTGAATTTTTTTTTAATTTGAAATTTTTTTGTAAAAATTATCCCCCCACACGCCAAATAAAGTACAAAAAGATAGATTTCGTTCCTTCTAACAAATCAATTATGGCAAATAAGCTTCCTTCAACCAATTTGGAACGATTTATTAGAGGGATTAAATCTCCGCTTACGCTTTAATAGCGCGAAATATATCGAGCGTTAATTGTCCCAAATTGCCAATCTTTAAACCCCCATAACTTTACACAGGTGAAATATCTTTTCAAATTTAAGCTCAGGGCAACAATACCTTTTGAAGATATAAAAAAATTCCGTCAAAAATGGCTAGTTAAAAAGTCGAAATTTGTCTGAAGAAAAAAAACCCACCCCGAGCACAAATATTCCGTTACTTTCGTATCGAAAGTCGGAACATTTAGATGCCTGGAGGGTAATCCCAAAGAGCGTTACTGCTGATCGAGTAGGATATCTTGGAGAAGAAAAAGGAGAAAATTTTGTTTTCGTTTAAGTTTTTTTTTTAGAAGTGGGCCCGATTTTGTTACGGTCCCGATCCAACAACCCAAAAAAGATGAATAAATTGTTTTCGTCCCCTAGATCTTTGATGATTCTTATCTGCTTATAAACAAAATTGCTATCAGAATACTTTTCTATAAATCAAGTATCTCATTTAAGTGAGAAGATAGCATATTACCGTATATGCTGGTTGTCGAGCTCACGTAAGCTGTTACAAATCATAGCATCTGTTGTTTAGAATAGGAAAAGCCTCAACAATCTTCAATCCCATAGGGTAACTATAGAATAAATTCTGAGATCTCTTAGTTGAGAGCCGAACTAAGGCTTCTCTTTAAATTTTTATCTTAGAATAGCTTTTTGATGATGAATGTTTGTTGCCGACCTTTTTTTCTTCGGTTTGCTCTACTGTACAAGAATAGAATACGTTTCTTGAACATCAATTAACAAATTTGTTTCTGAATCAGCGAACTTTTATTTCAGGTTCTTTTGAGTTTCGATTATTTTAAAAGTTATCATCATGAATTGGCAAGACAACCTGCAATCTTATCAGTTTAATTCTAATTGTCAATCAGTTGTCAACAGATACCAGTTTTACTATGCCTCAGTTGCACGTTGGCATTCGTGGGTTAAAATGCACTCGCAATCTTACTGGACTGTGGCGACAAATGCCGATATAAACACCAATTATTTTCAAGATAATGTTTCAAACGAGGGAAGTTATGATGTATCTTTAAACGAAGAGACCGAATTGTTTCTGAACTCAGGGGCAATGGAAGCACTTAGTTTGTTTCGAAATCAGAGTAGACAACATGATAATGCAGGAAAAAACAGTGAATCTGAAATTACATTGGTTGATGTCAGGTGAAATTCACTTTGTCTTTTCAACGATAGTTTAGTTTGAAAATTTTTTTTGATCGACCCCATTTTTTTGAAATTGTTGAAGACAATTCTTACCATTAAAAAGGTTCAAAAATACAATATGTTGTTACTACGTTGAAACGGAAACAACACAAAAATGCATTAGAAAGTAGTTGTAGATTCGCTCTTACTTCTCATTCAACTGATGAAAGCTGATCTGAACTTCATTCGAAAAACTGCCATACCACTGCGATCAGTCCACAAAAAATGTTTTAAAAAACAGGCAATTAAAATTTGCTTCTAGGATTTGAACAAAAAGTAGAATTGAAATAAACTATAAAAATGTTGTAATGTAACTCTCGAAGTGTCGTGAGTAAAACTGAACTAGACACAGGAACCAATCAAAATTGCTCGATTTCTGTGTCTAGAGCCAGATTGTTTGCTTTAACAGAAACTTGAAATTCGCATTCGAAGAAGAATTTACGGATCAAGTAAACCCTGTTTTTGGTTTCAAGTTCAAAGTCTATTCTTTTTTTTTCATTGTGGTTGTCCCTTTTGATGTCTTCCTTTTTTCGCCATTTTGATTTTGGCTCAAGTAGCAACTCGGTCTCCCGTCGTTAGTTTGTCGGGAATAATGGGTATTTATATAAAACACGAATACAACCTAACCATTTGTTTTTGCTACCTGTTTTTGCAATCTTATTTGAGGAGAAAATAACGTTTTCTTGGTCTCAAATAAAACACTGTTAATGTGGATAGAACGCTAACTGGAGACCGATTGTTGAGATCCAAAGTTTGTTTGGGCATTTCTTTCGACATGGTATAAAACTGGATCTTGGCCGTGAAATTAGTTGTGAAACAGGTATTGAGTTTATTAACGCGGTTCCAACTTAGTGTTGTCTATTTTTTGGCTATTTTTTTCATCAATCGGGTTTTTCTAGGTATGCTGAAGACCATGTGAGCAAAGCAAGCGAGGCTCCACCGTCAGAAAAGACAGCAGAGTATAAACTTCGCCAAGCAAAAGCGAAGCAGAAGTACGGAGAAGAAAGAAGCCTGAAGATAATAGCAAGTGAAAATGAGATTGACCACTCTTTTCACTCTTTTGTTGCCACACATAAACCCCTTTTGTGGCCTGTTATTCCCTTCAACTTGTGAAATAAGCTTTTTTTATATCAGTTTAAAACTAACAGGTTCTCAGAAGAATTATTGCAGTTTATTTTTGTTTGTAAATATGGAAAAAATAGTTGGATATTGTTAATTAGCCCCCCCCCCCCCCCCCTGATTGCGAAATGGCAAAGTTACAAGGTGCAAAATTAACTCAATTTTTTTTGCTAGATACGAGGAGGGATAATGAACAAGATCCAAATTGTTTGTTCTGGTATCTGTTCGTGCTGCTGATTGAAGCGAATGTTCGCTATAATGGTCAAAGTAGAATTTAAAAACGATATTTTCCTCCAAATTTTTGCACGTTTTCAGATGGGTTAATTTCATTGAAAAATGAAAGGTAAGAGGAGGCTTATGACCACTTTCTTTGGTTTAACTTCAATTAGTTTCAGTTTCTTCTTACACTTGCGAGAGCAAGTGTGTTGTAATCGGGCATTAGACTTTTTTCCCTAAAAATTTTTTTCTAACAAATCTGTAAGAAACTAAAGTTGCTTTATTAGTGAACCTCAACAACTTAAAGCCTCCTTCCCACTTGGTCGAGAGGTAACGAGAAGATTACTTTCGCGCCATAAGGTCTCAGATTCTAGTCCCGGCGTGGTCTTTTTTCTATCAGTATGCATCAAGATGATTTTTTTTTCCGAGAAAAATTGATCCTGACTTTCGTTTGTCTGCTCATGTTTTGTCGGCTTAGTTGCCGCATCAAGGTTTTTTGCTATAAGCAATTTTCATTAGCTCGCTCTAATTAATTGTTCAGGTCGTTTATGTGAAAAAAAGTTCAAAGTTTTAAAATTTAACTGCTTAATTTGTTTATGACAGCAATTGCGGATGGCGATTTTGAGCTCATGGGGTTTCTACCCACGCATTTTTTGCTTGGTAGTCGCTAGGTAAACACTTATTTGATGCTGTTTGTTGTGTTTCTTGTTTGATTTTCTTAAATGATTTTTTCATTTTTTCCAAAATAAATTCTATTATGCTTTCCGTTTCAGTCCATTCCGTCTCATTTTCTATTTGCTAATTTACAATGCTTTTGCTTTGTATCGCAAGGGATGCGAAGCTTTGCTTTGCCTCTGTGTTTATATCGGTGTGGCACGATTTTTTTGTAAATAACTTGGGAAATTGTCCTTCTCAAGTTAGCTTTTAATGTCCTGGTTTTTTTTAAATTTTGAGATTAAGTGTATTTGTTTCTACTAGGTTTTTCAAAGCTAGAATTTTTTCTATCTGGTCAAGTTGTGGGCAGTTGTTGGAATTGACGTCTTCATTGAAATGAAAGTTAATCTGTTATATTTATTAATGCGTCTGCCCATCTCCCTATATTTAAGAGTAATGAAGGTCTTACTGATTTTTTTTGTTTTTTTTTAATCCAGGAAAAACTCTCAAAATGTGCATAAAAGTCTAGTTTCGAAGGTGAAATTAATTTTTTGATTTCCAGCGGAATAAAAACTTTTCAAGTTGATCCATTTTTCTCAACTTGGTTGATGTTATCAAAAAAGCGCCAATCATAAATCGTTCTAGAATTCAAAGAGCTTAAAGGGCATCTATTTTTTTTTTGAAATTCGAAAGTTCGGATTTTTTCAAGAATGTCAGTTTTTTTATGTGTACTTGCGTTCATTACTCTTTTTCAATCTTCTATGTTTAAGCTATACCATATGTCTCACAGTTAAGCTTACCCAACTAAAAAATTGCAAAGGTTGCGCTATATTGTTTGTAGCCACGTTTAAGGCATCGCAGTAGAGAAAAAAAACGGCTAAATTTTACGCAGGCAATTTGAACAACCAATTGAGAGCTTTCCAAATTTCGCTTAAAATCCCACATTCCAAATATCGCTTGAAAAATTGTGTGAAATTTTGATCAAGTTCCAGATGCGATTTTCTTCATAAAGGAGAGGAAAGAGTATTAAGGGAATGGACCTTCTTAAATATTTCAAATATTCTTGTAATCGGGAACTCGACTTTTTCCCCGTAAACAACTTTTCTTACATATCTTACTTGCTTTACTTTTGAATCTTACCGACTTCCATTTCGTTCCCACTTAGCCTAGAGGTTACATGGTCGCCTGAAGGTCTAGGGTTTGAATCATGGCCGGACCTTAACTTTTTTCAGCATGTTTGAAGTTAAATTTTTTCCAGTCCGCCCACGTGTTGTCGGAACAGCTGCCACATCACAGATCTTTTTTGTGTTATAAGCTATTTTCATTATACTTGTAAGTGTTGTTCCTTGTAGTTTCAGGATGACTTTTTTTCCCACAAAATCATTTTTTTTCTGCGCAACTGATGTCTGCTCAAAGATTGTACGCTTTTTACCGCATCGTAAGTTTTGCTCCGCTGCTTATTTAGTATTCAAATGTTTTGCTTGGCAATTTTTGGTAGAAGTTGTATTTTTTTTTCAACTTTTTTCATTTTTGCACTCATGTTTTTTTAAATGTTTGTGGTGGGTTATGTATCGCCAGAGAGGCGAAGCTCTGCTTAGCACGTGTTCATTATGAATCATGTTAAACAGTCCGGGTAAGTTTATTCGATTTTTGTTTACTAGAATTTGAGACGACATAAAGTCATTTTAATGCATTAGACCTTGAAACTGAAGTGAAAATTTAGGTAATTTTTTGCATTACAAGTCAAAAACGGATTGCAAGGACAAATATGAAAATCAATTTGAGTTAACCTTTATTACTTTCAGTACTATCATTCATTAGAGGGAGCTATTTCTTCGGTTTTTCTCAACCTATCGAAAATAGTGCCATTCGCGTTAGTCAATAGTTACCCCATCTAACTGAGTCAATTACTATCAATAATACCTGCATGTTTGGGGCGCGATGGTGGTGGTAATTTTTCAAAGATGGGGTAAATGCGGACTGGGGGCGCAACGACAGTAATTTTTATTGTCTGGATATTTTGAATGCATTTTTTGATCGCCTAATTTATGAATTACAATTTTATTTTTCGGCAAAGGTAAGTTTCTCAGATCTATTATTTGTTTGAGTCGTGCTGAGCGCCATGTTTAGCATTTCAATTTCACCACTCAAAACGTTTTATCTTCTTCAGTTAAAACTTGAGCAGGTCAGGATTCGAAACGCCGCTAACAAATTGTGCGATGTAGTGTTGTATCCGCTAGAAGACGAGTGCATTGGTGACCTAAATATATAGCGATAGTAAAGAAAAGCTTTTTATCTAAGTATGTTTTTGTTCTATACTATATTATTTGCTTATAATCTTGGTTATTCTGAATGCAAAAGCTGCCAGTACGTGATTCAATTGGGACTACGCCTGGGATGGCAAAGGTCCTAGTTTTGAGTCTGGCGGGGACGTTTTTTATTTTCAAACTGAAAATGTTTCATTAAAAAAACGGCCTATCGTTTTTCTGATTATGCTTTGTCGTCTTAGTTCCCACTTCGCGAAAATTTCTTGTCCTGTAAGTAATTTTTCTTTTAGTTGCAAAATATTTTGATTTACTAGCCCTGAGCGTGAAAAGCCTTGAGTTTTAATAGCTGATTGGGCTCTTTTTCCTTCCCCCCCCCACCTGCAAATTTTTACATGTAAATTTGTTGACCAGATTGTCGGATTGTTATGAAAATTTACATACAGACTAATAAGGCCACGACAAACATATTTGGTCTTCATACTCAACCTCGTAAAACCACTCGTTACACTAATAAGTTGAAACTGGAGTCAAAAGTGTGATGTTTTAGTTATTGTGTAACTTTTTTTGACATTTTTGAACATTTTTTCCACTTTTGTTTTGTGACTTTCGTTTATGCTTCGACTATTTTTCTAACATTGCAACAAAAAATCATGCATATAGCCATAATAAATAACATGCATAAATTTTATGAAAACGAAAAGATTGCGGCTATTTTGATTGTTTGCCTCACCTGCGAAATTAAATCATTATAATTTTTGTTGCTTATTGAAGATTTCCTTGGAAGTTGGCGGAAGGCTATTCCAAGCATTTGGTCTTCATATTTTTATTTGTTTGACCGCCAAAAAACTCATAAAATTGATATTTATTTGAGGAGGAGCGAAAAGCAAAAAGAGCCGGCATTTGAGTTCAATGATGAACGAGTTAACTATTTTGAACTATTTGTTCTTCTAACTTTAAAAGAAAAATATTCGTTCAAAAAATCAAGTACAAATGTGATCAGAATAGTTAGCTTTTCAGCATGCAACATTTCATTTCATTATTACAAAGGAAAATGAGCCGGAGTGACGAATTAGTTTGGAATTGGGTTTTTATCATGAATATCAAATAGCCTGAAAATCTGGTGATATTATTGTAAATTCGAATTGGCTGACGTTAAAACAATTCAACATTCAAAAATCAGCCACCCATCACGGGCCTAGAAATTCATGGTCACGACTCGGTTTTTAAGGTATGGTCAAAGGGCTCTTTTTCCTACCCCCCCCCCTTCCACGTGCAAAATTTTTTTAGTGAAATTTTGTTCACGTAATCCGAATGTTACGAAAATTGACATGCTAACTAATTAGGCCATGACAAAGATGTTTGGTCTTCATGATTAACCTTGTAAAACCCCTCGTTTCACCATAAAATTGACGCTTAAATGAGGTGGGTGGGGGGGAGGGGAGGAAAAAGAGCCGGTCAAAGTAGTTTGCTATGGGCGAATTAAGAAATCCGTGGCTCTCTACTCTTATTCGACCGGGGCTCTTCTACATTACAGTAAGTCAATGCCTCTCCCTCCACCATCACATGTAATTTTGTGTATCTTCAAGTTGTTTACTTGTTAAAAAATTTTGACCGCCAAAAAACTCATAAAATTGATATTTATTTGAGGAGGAGCGAAAAGCAAAAAGAGCCGGCATTTGAGTTCAATGATGAACGAGTTAACTATTTTGAACTATTTGTTCTTCAAACTTTAAAAGAAAAATGTTCGTTCAAAAAATCAAGTACAAATGTGATCAGAATAGTTAGCTTTTCAGCATGCAACATTTCATTTCATTATTACAAAGGAAAATGAGCCGGAGTGACAAATTAGTTTGGAATTGGGTTTTTATCATGAATATCAAATAGCCTGAAAATCTGGTGATATTATTGTAAATTCGAATTGGCTGACGTTAAAACAATTCAACATTCAAAAATCAGCCACCCATCACGGGCCTAGAAATTCATGGTCACGACTCGGTTTTTAAGGTATGGTCAAAGGGCTCTTTTTCCTACCCCCCCCCCCCTTCCACGTGCAAAATTTTTTTAGTGAAATTTTGTTCACGTAATCCGAATGTTACGAAAATTGACATGCTAACTAATTAGGCCATGACAAAGATGTTTGGTCTTCATGATTAACCTTGTAAAACCCCTCGTTTCACCATAAAATTGACGCTTAAATGAGGTGGGTGGGGGGGAGGGGAGGAAAAAGAGCCGGTCAAAGTAGTTTGCTATGGGCGAATTAAGAAATCCGTGGCTCTCTACTCTTATTCGACCGGGGCTCTTCTACATTACAGTAAGTCAATGCCTCTCCCTCCACCATCACATGTAATTTTGTGTATCTTCAAGTTGTTTACTTGTTAAAAAATTTTGACCGCCAAAAAACTCATAAAATTGATATTTATTTGAGGAGGAGCGAAAAGCAAAAAGAGCCGGCATTTGAGTTCAATGATGAACGAGTTAACTATTTTGAACTATTTGTTCTTCAAACTTTAAAAGAAAAATGTTCGTTCAAAAAATCAAGTACAAATGTGATCAGAATAGTTAGCTTTTCAGCATGCAACATTTCATTTCATTATTACAAAGGAAAATGAGCCGGAGTGACAAATTAGTTTGGAATTGGGTTTTTATCATGAATATCAAATAGCCTGAAAATCTGGTGATATTATTGTAAATTCGAATTGGCTGACGTTAAAACAATTCAACATTCAAAAATCAGCCACCCATCACGGGCCTAGAAATTCATGGTCACGACTCGGTTTTTAAGGTATGGTCAAAGGGCTCTTTTTCCTACCCCCCCCCCCTCCACGTGCAAAATTTTTTTAGTGAAATTTTGTTCACGTAATCCGAATGTTACGAAAATTGACATGCTAACTAATTAGGCCATGACAAAGATGTTTGGTCTTCATGATTAACCTTGTAAAACCCCTCGTTTCACCATAAAGTTGACGCTTAAATGAGGTGGGTGGGGGGAGGGGAGGAGAAAGAGCCGGTCAAAGTAGTTTGCTATGGGCGAATTAAGAAATCCGTGTCTCTCTACTCTTATTCTACCGGGGCTCTTCTACACTACAGTAAGTCAATGCCCCTCCCTCCACCATCACATGTAATTTTGTGTACTCTTCAAGTTGTTTACTTGTTAAAAAATTTTGAATGTGAGTTAATTATCAACTATATGCCTTTTTTCGGCTCTTTTCCAGTTCCCCCCTTTTCAAAATACCGAGTTTTGAAAAGTCTATTTAAGGTTGTCACAATGCAATGAAATTTGGCGTGGTGAACAAATGGACAATTCTGAACAGATTTGTTCTTCATACTTTACAGCGTAACATCACACATTTAGCCGTAATAATACGTAAAACAAATATAAAACTCGGTATTTTGAAAGGGGCACTGGAAAAGAGCCCTTTTTTCATGTATACCTTGTAAGATCATTATTTACACCGCAAAGTTGGTGTTTTTATTTGGTGGGGACGACAGAAGACCGTAAAAGAGTCAAATTCGTTTGCTTGGAACTATCTTCTGATGGTGACAGGGTTTTAAAATGGTCAATAGCCCAAAAAGAGGCAGTGATTTGAAGTAGTTTTGCAGTTTGTCATTTTGTGTGAGAGTGATATACTAAGTTTGCTCATATTATAAGATACAATGTTGCTCTTCGTAGATCTCCTACCAGAAAAGAATGAAAGTTCGAAATGGTAGAATACTTGCAGGCAACTTGTTCTCAAAAAGCCACGTGTCTTTTCGCTATTTGAGAAATTATACACGTCAGCATATATTTTTCGTATTATCTATTTAATGCGCTGTCAAAAAGTAAAGCAATGTGTTATACTATTAACATTATATCTTGATTCGTTTTTTGCACCATATTGTTAAATCAAACGCTCTTGGTATAAATAGTCCTACATACAATTCTCTTATTAATTGGCCGTTTATTAATTTGAAGTCATTTTTGATATCAATTTCTATTTTATTGAATCGGTTTATCAGCTTGCTGTGTAAATTAACTTCATTCTGCCGTCAAATTCAGTGTCATCAGAGGTCGAGAAAAGTTAGTGTGCAATTTTTAAAGGCATAGCTTGGAGGCAGTGGAGGTTACCTCGGCTCTTTTTCCTCCCCCCCCCCCCCCACCTGCAAATTTTTATATTTGAAAATACTGTTACTTTGTCCAATTGTCGTGAAAATTGACATGCAAACTAATAAGGCCATAACAAGCATTTATGGTCTCCATAATTAACCTTGTAAAACCACTCGTTAGACCATAAAATTGACGCTTAAATGAGGTGGGTGGGGGGGAGGGGAGGAAAAAGAGCCGGTCAAAGTAGTTTGCTATGGGCGAATTAAGAAATCCGTGGCTCTCTACTCTTATTCGACCGGGGCTCTTCTACATTACAGTAAGTCAATGCCTCTCCCTCCACCATTACATGTAATTTTGTGTATCTTCAAGTTGTTTACTTGTTAAAAAATTTTGACCGCCAAAAAACTCATAAAATTGATATTTATTTGAGGAGGAGCGAAAAGCAAAAAGAGCCGGCATTTGAGTTCAATGATGAACGAGTTAACTATTTTGAACTATTTGTTCTTCAAACTTTAAAAGAAAAATGTTCGTTCAAAAAATCAAGTACAAATGTGATCAGAATAGTTAGCTTTTCAGCATGCAACATTTCATTTCATTATTACAAAGGAAAATGAGCCGGAGTGACAAATTAGTTTGGAATTGGGTTTTTATCATGAATATCAAATAGCCTGAAAATCTGGTGATATTATTGTAAATTCGAATTGGCTGACGTTAAAACAATTCAACATTCAAAAATCAGCCACCCATCACGGGCCTAGAAATTCATGGTCACGACTCGGTTTTTAAGGTATGGTCAAATGGCTCTTTTTCCTACCCCCCCCCCCCCCCCTCCACGTGCAAAATTTTTTTAGTGAAATTTTGTTCACGTAATCCGAATGTTACGAAAATTGACATGCTAACTAATTAGGCCATGACAAAGATGTTTGGTCTTCATGATTAACCTTGTAAAACCCCTCGTTTCACCATAAAGTTGACGCTTAAATGAGGTGGGTGGGGGGAGGGGAGGAGAAAGAGCCGGTCAAAGTAGTTTGCTATGGGCGAATTAAGAAATCCGTGTCTCTCTACTCTTATTCTACCGGGGCTCTTCTACACTACAGTAAGTCAATGCCCCTCCCTCCACCATCACATGTAATTTTGTGTACTCTTCAAGTTGTTTACTTGTTAAAAAATTTTGAATGTGAGTTAATTATCAACTATATGCCTTTTTTCGGCTCTTTTCGAGTTCCCCCCTTTCAAAATACCGAGTTTTGAAAAGTCTATTTAACGTTGTCACAATGCAATGAAATTTGGCGTGGTGAACAAATGGACAATTCTGAACAGATTTGTTCTTCATACTTTACAGCGTAACATCACACATTTAGCCGTAATAATACGTAAAACAAATATAAAACTCGGTATTTTGAAAGGGGGCACTGGAAAAGAGCCCTTTTTTCATGTATACCTTGTAAGATCAATATTTACACCGCAAAGTTGGTGTTTTTATTTGGTGGGGACGACAGAAGACCGTAAAAGAGTCAAATTCGTTTGCTTGGATCTATCTTCTGATGGTGACAGGGTTTTAAAATGGTCAATAGCCCAAAAAGAGGCAGTGATTTGAAGTAGTTTTGCAGTTTGTCATTTTGTGTGAGAGTGATATACTAAGTTTGCTCATATTATAAGATACAATGTTGCTCTTCGTAGATCTCCTACCAGAAGAGAATGAAAGTTCGAAATGGTAGAATACTTGCAGGCAACTTGTTCTCAAAAAGCCACGTGTCTTTTCGCTATTTGAGAAATTATACACGTCAGCATATATTTTTCGTATTATCTATTTAATGCGCTGTCAAAAAGTAAAGCAATGTGTTATACTATTAACATTATATCTTGATTCGTTTTTTGCACCATATTGTTAAATCAAACGCGCTTGGTATAAATAGTCCTACATGCAATTCTCTTATTACTTGGACGTTTATTAATTTGAAGTCATTTTTGATATCAGTTTCTATTTTATTGAATCGGTTTATCAGCTTGCTGTAAAAAATTAAATTATTCTGCCGTCAAATTCAGTGTCATCAGAGGTCGAGAAAAGTTAGTGTGCAATTTTTAAAGGCGTAGTGGAGGTTCCCTTTCGCGGCTCATTTCCACCTCCCCTACACATTTCAAAATTTGTATTTTCATAGCTGTTTTGCATGTTATTTTAGCTGAAGGTTAAAATTAAAACAGATTTTCGAAAATGAATATCAAATGTGGAGGGGCGGGTAGTTGAAAAGAGGGCTCTTTTTCCTTTTCCCCCCACCTGCAATTTTTTACTAAAAAAGGTTCTGTTGACATTGTTCGATCGCTATGAAAATTGACATGCGGACTGATTAGGCTATGACAAACATATTTGGTCTCCTTAATTAACCTTGTAAAACCACTCGTTACACCATAAAATTGATAGTTGTGTGAGGTGGGGGGGGGGGGAGGAAAAGAGCCCTTATCCCAAATTTGTGTTTATCACAAACCAGATTGCCCTTACATCGGCTATTGGCTCTTTTCCTCTCCCAGCCTATCAAACTTTCCACAAATAAATATTCCAGTTCTAATTGCTTGCTTACCCTTGCGATGAGCAAGAGTGTTGGGCTCTTTTCCAGTTCCCCCTTTTCAAAATACCGAGTTTTATGTTTGTTTTACGTGTTATTACGGCTACATGCGTGATGTTACGAGGTAAAATATGCAGAACAAATTTGTTCACAATTGCCGATTTGTTCACCACGCCAAAATTCATTGGAATATGACAATATTAAATAAGCTCTTCAAAATTGAATTTGAAAGGGGGGAACTGGAAAAGAGCCGAGTATTGTAATTGGGCACCAGACTTTTTTCCCGTAAATAACTTTAGGCACAGGACTCATCTCCTGGATCCTCGACTCATTCATCTCCTAGGCCAATCTGTTGCAACAGATTTTTTGAGCAGGTTAGCATTTCAAATATACGGCCTATTCGATTTTTTTTGCTGGTTCTAATTTTACCAAATCGGTTTGTTAAAATTTCATTTTTTTCTCTTATTTCTCGGTTTAATAGGTTTCGGCATATTTTAGTTCGGCTTAGTGGCCCCATGTTGCATCAATTGATGAGCCAAGAATATTTTTGTGCGCGTGTATGTGCGTTTTAAGGGTGGTTGGATTAGACAATTTTTATAATTTTGAATTTTTTGATTTCTAATTTTTTTTTTCGTTTTTAAGGGTTTCTGCTCTGACATGTTTGGTTTACTTCACCGCATGTTAAGTTTTTCGATGGTGAAGTTTTAAAATATTTTATTGTATTATTTTCGGCTCTTTTCCAGTCCCCCCCCCCTTTGATTTTCTCTGAAATTCATTGAAGGAAAGTCTATTTAAAACTACTTTTCATGATGAAAACTGCATTAAAACGTGTCAGCGTGAACAGGTTAACAAATTTTTATAACATGCAAAATGTTAGGTGAACAATTTTTGAACAGCTTTATAGATTTGCTATTTTACGAGGAGGGTGGGAAACTGGAAAAGAGCCTTCTTTTTTTTTGGTTTATAGAGCAGATCTAGTTTTTGTGTTTTTTTCGTTAAATTTTTTCGACTATGTTTTGTTTATTTTTTGAAGTTTTTTTGACCATTTTTTTCGTTGCAAGTGATGCGAAGCTCAGCTTTGCCTCTGTGTTAAATATTATGATAATTAAAATTTGCAACGCTGGGGAAAGGAAATGGAAAAGTGCCGTTACTTAAGTTTTTAGGCGGATTCGGGTTAAATGTAATCAAAGCGAGAGTTAATAATTAGTTAACTGCTAAAATGATTTTTTGATATCTTCGGCCGGCGAGAAAATTGGAAATCATTTACTGGCGTTTGATCTGGTATTGTTATTGCCGTTTTTTATGCTTTGGTGAAAAATATTTTGACGATTTCAGCAGTTATCGAGAAATTTTTTGGGCAAACACTTACCAATAAAAAGATAGTATACTATTCCAATGCTTTCATTTGCGAAGCACAGTGATATGATTGATCAAATATTTTCCCGGCCAACTTGTTTGAAGATTCGTTCTTTGCTTTGGAGAAAAACATAGATTTAGCTGGTGTATCCATAAAAACAACTGCACAGCGTATCCTGTCTAGGCTTTATTCAGGTTTATTTTATGAAGGGTTTTCATAATGATGTTTTTTGGCATTTAAATATTTTTTACAGAAGCGCATGATTTCTCCCTGAAAATCCACATTTTATAAAAAAAATTAATACTAGAACTTCAGGATCAACGTGTCAAATAAATAAATAAATAAGTTAATTCAGCAGATTCACAAGCTTCAAATCAAAAAGTGGGCTCTTTTCCCTTTTTCCTCCCAAATTTCGTATTTTCAGTTTTCTTAGTTGTCTTACGTGTTATTATGGTTGAATGCGTGATGTTATGATGTTAGGTATTATTACGCTTGCGATTAGCAAGCGTTATCAAACTGGAATATAGCCTTTTTTCTAGTTAACAACAAAATCAATTGAATCACTTACTGACTATGCAGCTAGCTGACATCTTTTCACTTTTATTCTGTTCTCTTAAGATCTTGTAGGTTGCTTACCGCTTGGCCTGGAGGTAAAGCATTTGCCTTTGTACCCTAAGGTCTGTGTTTCGAGTCGTGGCCGGACCATGTTTTTTCAGTATCAAGGAAATTGAAAAAAAAATCGAAAAAATGAATTGTTGGTTTTTCGTTTGTTCGCTCAAGTTTTGTCGGCGTGAATGCAACAGCGGATTTTGCTTGTGCTATAGACTTTTTATTGTAGTTGCAAGTGCTGTAAGTATTGTACATTCTAATATCAGGAGGGACTTGAAAGATATAAAACTTTTTTTTTTCGGTTCAGTTGGTGTCTGCTCAAAGATTGTTGGCTTAATTACCACATCACTGATTTTTTTTTGCTGCAAGCAATTTCCATTGTTGTTGCAAGTTAAGTTCTGTTCATTCTAGTTTCAAGGGGGACTTGAAAGATTTATAAAAAAAATCGGAAAATCCTTTTTTTCGGTTCAAGTGGTTTCCGCTCAAGATGTTAGCTTAGTTGCCACATCACTGGCTTTTCATGTGCTGTAAACAACTTTCATTCTAGTAGAGTGAGAGTAGGTCTTGGCTAATTTCCATTCCTTTCTCCACACTTCTCATTTTCTGTTTTCGCAGATTAATATGTTATGGCAAAATGCGTGATATTACGAGTAAAAAATGAAGATTTAAACTTCTCAATAGTTATTTTGTTCACGAGGCAAAATTTCAATTCACTATGACATTGTTTAATTGGTTTTAAACTTTGGGTGTTGCTTACATGAGAGTATGTCTTGGCTAATTTCCATTCCTTTCTTCACACTTCTTAATTTCTGTTTTCAGAGTGTAATATATTATGGAAAATTGCGTGATTTTGCGAGTAAAGAATGTAGAATTAGTCTTCCCAATAGTTATTTTGTTCACGATGCAAAATTTCAATACACTTTGACATTAATTAGTTGGTTCTAATACTCAAAATTCGTTCAGTCGGAGGGAAAAGAACTAGGTTTTTAACGCTGGAACCATATTTGAGTCCTTTCAGTTGTGTTTCAGATGTCGTCAAAATTTTAGAGTTTCGCTTTTTTGCCAGATTTGCTTCCGCAATTCAGACCCCAATTAAGCGATAAGCGGAACCTATTTGAAAAGCGGTCGTCTGGTGTTTGTCTTAAAGATGATCTGTTTTTTTTACTTTTACGTAATTTCAGATCGTTATTTCAAACGTTTATGAAAAAGGCTCTTTTTCAATTTCCACCATATATACACAAGCAAAGCTTGTGTGATATTACGAACTCATTGTTTTCCAACCTAAGTCGCAAATGATTGTTGTGCTCTTTTTGAAATATACAGCGATTAAATACAGCAAATGCTAAGGATAGTAACACACTATTGTATTACAAATAGGACTTTAGCTTCAAGGAGTTATGGTTCTGTAGTGTTGAGGTAGGGAAGGAGACCAGCAGCAAAATAAGAGGGTTCGAACCTCAGCAGGGTCGCATGTTTTTAATGAACTTTTTCGTATACTAATTAAAATGCGTTCGCTCTATAAATTGAGGCATGTTAGTGATAAGTTTCTTTTCAAATCGACTGGTACTGCTAATGCGTCATAATTGGCGTGCGTCACTTAAGAAATTTTGTAGACTCAAAGTTTTACTCATTCAGTTTTTCCCAGTCGCGTTGGCGGTCATATTTTTGCTTGTGTATGCGAAGTGCAACTTCCACTCTGTGTTTAAATTTTTCATCATTTCTACCTAGAGTACCAAGAAAGAAATTTAAGTTTTCTGATTGCCTAATTGTTTCGCAGGTTGTTGCTTAAATGCGTAATGTGTCGATGCAAAGTATGAAAAACAAATCTGTTGACAATAGTTGGTTTGTTCACTATGCAAAATTTCTTTGCATAATACAATGCTAAATTAGTTTTTCAAAGTGAAATCCAAATTTGAGTAGGGAACTGGAAAGGAGCCGAAGCCTCCTCTCCTTTTCATATTTTTTCCCAATTTTTCACCAAGAAATCATTTTTTGTTTTTTTAGTTGCCAATAATTTAGTCACTCCAAATTTAGATTAAAGACAAATTGGATGCATCGTTTTTGTATCTTCCATGAACAAGGCTATTACTTCTGCTTATAAAAATGCACCAACGAAGTTTTTGAATAGATTGTTAGAAATTTGCTGATAACTAGTGTATCGATTTTCATCGTTTTTGTTTGATCTACTTATATGACTAGGGTAGGTTTCCGGTGGTTGTTGTTTACATGAGGGTAGGTCTTGGCTAGTTTCCATTCCTTTCTCCACAGTTCTAAGTTTCAGTTTTTGTAGTTTAATATGTTATGGCAAAATGCGTGATATTAATTACGAGTAAAAATGAAGAATTAGTCTACTCAATAGTTATTTTTTTGCACGATGCAAAATTTCAATACACTATGACATTTTATAATTGGTTTTAAATTTTGGTTGTTGTTTAGATGAGGGTAGGTCTTGGCTAGTTTCCATTCCTCTCTCCTCACTTCTTATTTTCTGTTGTCAGAATGAAATATGTTGTTATGGCAAAATGCGTGATATTGCGAGTAAAAAATGAAGAATTTGTCTTCTCAATGGTTATTTTGTTCACGATGCAAAATTTCAATTCACTATGACATGTTTAATTGGTTTTAAAATTTTGGGTGTTGCTTACATGAGAGTAGGTCTTGGCTAATTTCCATTCCTTTCTCCACACTTCTAAATATCTGTTTTCAGAGGGTAATATGTTATGGAAAAATGCGTGATTTTGCGAGTAAAGAATGTAGAATTAGTCTTCCCAATAGTTATTTTGTTCACGATGCAAAATTTCAATTCACTATGACATTGTTTAATTGGTTTTAAAATTTTGGGTGTTGCTTACATGAGAGTAGGTCTTGGCTAATTTCCATTCCTTTCTCCACACTTCTAAATTTCTGTTTTCAGAGGGTAATATGTTATGGGAAAAGGCGTGATTTTGCGAGTAAAGAATGTAGAATTAGTCGTCCCAATAGTTATTTTGTTCACGATTCAAAATTCCTTCAATCGGAGGGAAAAGAACTAGGTTTTTAACACTGGAACTATATTTGAGTCCTTTCAGTTGTGTTTCAGATGTCGTCAAAATTTTATAGTTTCGCTTTTTTGCCAGATTTGCTTCCGCAATTCAGACCCCAATTAAGCGATAAGCGGAACCTATTTGAAAAGCGGTCGTCTGGTGTTTGTCTTAAAGTTGATCTGTTTTTTTTTTACTTTTTACGTAATTTCAGATCGTTATTTCAAACGTTTATGAAAAAGGCTCTTTTTCAATTTCAACCATATTTTAAATTTTTCATCATTACTACCTAGAGTACAAAGAACAAATTTGTTCACACTATTTAGTTTGTTCGTCATGCTAATTTTTGTTGCTGTATGACCAAGTTAATAAGATTTAATGATTAGTTTAAATGTCATTGGATTAGAGCTGGAACAGCCTTAAAACAGATTTTTTATTACCGGCGAAGTTTCAATGCATAAAATATCATTGTTGGAATTTTCTGTGCTACTTGCTCAGATGCGGGCCACTCATGTTGAGTTATGATTTTGAAGCTAAAATTTTTTATTGGCAGATATTTTGTCACGGAGTTTTTCAGTGCAAAAGAACGAAGTGATAAAAGTGATGGAGTTTTTTTATTTGTTCACATTCATTTTTAATGTATGCTGCATGATCTATGCTTCGTTTTTAAGTAAACTTCTTTTCATTTGTTATCACAAACAGCAAATATGAAGAGGAAAACCTGAATGACTTTGTTACAGAAAAGGATTTCATTTTTTTCGAGTTTCCAGCGGAATAAAAAAAATCACTGTTTTTTCTAAATGGGATAACAATAAAAATCATTACACTTGCGAAGCGAGTGTGTAAGTACGAACCTTTTTTTTAACCATTTTAAGTTGCAAATATTGGTCCCACTTTTAAGCACCTTTACAGCTTTTTCATAGTGTGGGCTTTGACATTCGAATAGTAATAAGTTAACACAGTTGATGCATTTATAATTCATCAAATGAACCGAAAGAAAAGATTCATTTCAAACTACATAAACACAATGAAAACTCGATTTCAGAAAATTTGTGACTCAAAATATCTCGCAATTTTTTGAAATGCATGTTTTATACATAATGTGGCTTTATGATTTGCGATTTGTTACATGCAAAGTTAATGCCTTCAGTTTGTTATAATTCAAATTATTACTTGCAAAATTGAGTCTATTTGTCTTTGGTGCTACTTTTGCTGATAAGTCTTGGCAATTATTAGCATTTGAAACTGCTCTATTCGTGACTAGTGTTTGTTGGTTGTTAAGCTTGCGTGGCTGATTGGATAGTGCGTGAGACTCAAAATCTTTTGATTGCAGTAGGTGGCAGATCGAATCCTAGACCTAGATGAGTTTTTGCTAATTCGAGGCTGATTTCTTATTGCACTCTCCAGAGCTGATTTGTGTTCTCGCAAGTATTGCGAAGCGCAGTTTCGCCTCTCTGTAAACAGTATTTTAAATTCAAAGAGCTTCAACGTGATATTTTTTCTTCGAAATTTGAAAAGTGTTTAAAAATTTTGTATAATCTTTTTTCGGTTTGTTTCTTAGACAGTTCCAACTGTCTGTTGGCTACGTTTTATGTTGCATCTAGTCGTAAGTCTATATAAATATACGATTCAAGGGATAATGAAAGAATCTTTTTTTTTTGAAAGCGTTATCTAAACTGTAGAAATGAATATTTCAGGTTAAAGATGAATCAATTCTTTACCTTTAATGTATTGTCTTGTTTTATTTGGGGACATTCATCAATTCAGGAAGAAGTGGATGCATAATAAATCACGATGAATTGGATGTTGTTTGTATTGTGCGCGTTTTTATTACATTAGTATAGGCAGAAAAAAACTTATTTATTGATATATTTAGCAGCCGGAGAACGCGCGAACATCTGCTTGATTTTTCTTCCTTGGCATCAGAGTTATATTAGTTTCATATATGCCGTTCAGTATTCCCTTTTTACGTCGGCGAGATTTCCGAAATGGGAACGAATTGAACTTTGCCCCCAACGAGCAATGGGATCGTGCTACTATACTCCAGCTAACAATCCTGATCCTCGTAGTTCCAGCCCAGCTGGTTCTAACAGACTGGATGGGAACTCCAGAATTCCAGAGGTCAGATATGATCCGAAGAATTGTGACTAATGCACAAGTATGTCGCAAAATGATAAATATGATACAGCGGTCCTTGTTAACCAGGTGTGATAAGTTATCCCTAAAACCAAAAATTAAACGGAATTAAACGACTAAGTCCGCTTGTTTTTTCACCATGGAGATAACTCTTTTTTTAAGGCCTTATTTTCTAAGGCCCAAGTATATTTCAAGGGAAAATTTAATTCATGGAACCCAATTCTTTTCCAGGATCCCGCCTTTGTTTTAATGACACGCCTGAATTTCAGCGCTCGTATGTTTTTAGGGACCAATCTATCATAATTATAATCTAGTTTTACTACGAGAAATATTGCGTGGACGTTGGAGCGTTGAGGAAGGCTATTCGTATTTGGGTGTTCAAAGAGGCATTTAATATTGACGACTATGATGAGCCGGAACCAGAAGTGAAGAAAGATGAAAAGAAAGAGAAAAAGGTCAAAACTGGAAATGGATTACTAGGAGGTGAGGAGTAACACTTGTTGCGACTTTCGAAGAAAGTGACGTAATATTTATCCTCGGGTGATTTTTTTCTCCCAAACAATTTTGGCTTTTTATTTATCCATTTTGAAGGAATTTTTTCATTTTATTTGAAAAGTATTGTTCTCTTAAGCTCAAATTTTAAAAGATATTTCTCCTGTGTCCATTTTTTGAAAAGTTTTGGGTGTTTAAAGATTGACAATTTGGGAAAATTAATTTACGAGACTTAGAGGTAAAAAGATAATATTGAATTTGGTCTTTTTTATGTAAATTCTCCCAGTTTTTGATAAATTTGCCATGGTTCGTAACTCAGGTTCTGCTGGAAAATATCTTTTCTCGGACTGTAAGATTTATTTCCAGTTGGATAGTTCACATTTGTTTTTTAATTGATCCGACTTTTGATGAAAGTGTGGAGTGTTTGTGGTTGGGGTGGTTTTTTATTCAGTCAATTTTCGACTTCTAAACTAAGCGTTCTTGACTTAATTTGCTATACCATCTGAAAGATATTGTTGTTTTGAGCTCAAAATTTCAAAGATGTTTGACCTGTGATCAAATTTCATAAAGTTAAGGGGGTTTCAAAATTGCTACTTTGGTCATTTCAGGACAACTAACGCGCTATATATTGCGTTTTTATAACAAGCGCGAGCGGCAAATTAATGCGTTCCTAATTGAATTGAAGCCAGTAATTTAGTCATATTTACGCTAGCGAGAAGCTAGTGTTTTAGTACGAACCTTGTTTTTGTTTCTAACCTAACTCGCAAATAAAATTGTTCATTTAAAGTGTTCACTTTTGTGCCTTTTTGCTATAATCACGATCTGTAGTATTGGAAATTTCATAACATTTGTTCTTGACCTTATTTGTGGCTAGTGTTTGTGATGGACTAAGCATCCATGGCTGTGTGGTTGCGTGAGACTCATAATATCTAGATCGCAGTAGGTTCGAGTTCGAGAACCAATTTTTGTCAATTTTTTTTTTTAACTAGAGGCTTTTTTAATTGCATTTTTTAGAATTCTAGAGCTGCTTTTTGCCGTGTTCTCGCTAGTGTTTGCAAAGCGCAGCTTCGCCTCTGTGTAAAACATTACGAGACGCTAAGCACACTCTTTATATTTTACAAAACGTGTGGGGTGATAAATTGTAGAAAAAAAATTCTTTTTTGCCTTTTCACTTATTCCATCAATTAATCAACCAAAACACTTTTTAATGGGCCTTAAAGGGCAGCCGGAGCATTAGGGCTTTGCATCTTGTCCGTCTTAGGAATTGTTCCAAATTGAATTGAGGCATTTTGTTTTAGTCGATTTAATACTTTGCTGCATGCGAAATAAATCTTTGTATTTCAGATAGGGGGGATGATTTAAAAAAAATAATATTTTGATTTTTTTTTTCATTTTTTTAATTCTCAATTTTTCAAAGCGCGGACTTTCTATCGACCTTAAAAGATAATGGGAAAATTCAGGACTTCGCCTTGATACGAGAGTAGTCTTGTTTTTCCGATTTTCGAAGAAAGTGACGGAATATTTGTGCTCGGGGTGTTGTTTTTCCCAACAGATTTCGGCTTTTTAACTTGCTATTTTGAGGGAATTTTTCAAATCTCGGAAAGTTATTGTCTTGAGCTCAAATTTAAACATTTATTTCACCTGTGATCTTTTTCACCTGTAAAGTTTGTCAAATTGGGACAATTAACGCGCGATATATTTCGCGCTTTTAACGCGTTAGCGCAGATTTAATCCCTTCGGAATCGTTCCAAATTGACTCGAGGCCTTCTGTTTTGAATTCTTAATTTCTTGCTATGCGGGAAATGTAATACTTATTACTTGGCATAGCCTTGTGATGATTTTCAAAAAAAGCATAAAGAATTTGAAGCAGAGAAGATCTTGTTGATCTCCTACAAAGTTGGTCCCATTATATGCCAGTTCTTTTTTATGCCATTATATGCCAGTATCGCGCTTTTATTTTTTAAAACAAAACGTTGCCCACGGAGAAGACCAATTCGATATGTTTCGCACGGATCATAAGGCTGCTTGAAAGGAAATTCCAGTTTTTTTTCAGATGAGAGTCGAATCGCGAAGTATAATGGTCACAGTTGTTAATTGTAGAAATCACCAACGGCATTTAGCGATGATCCTAATTTTCACTTAGAATAACTGCTGTATACGAATATCCGGCAATAGGAGCGAACGATGATATTGGTTTTTCCAGTAGGCTGCAAGGTTGCTGTAGGTTGTGTGTAATAGTTAATGTTACCAGCGACACTAGTTGAAGACATTTGGTTTGCATTATAATTTTTTGATAAACTAAAGTGCTACAGGGCGCTAAAAGGGGAATTATTTTATTGAACGTATATGCGTTGCAAGATGCTTGTTTTGTCTGTCTATATTCGGCAATGTCGCTGTTGAGTCCAAGCTAACAACTGTTTGCGGTAGTGATGCATTTTGATGTTGTGTGAGTAAAACTGAATGCATTTACAGTTCATTAGTTTTTCCATCCTGGATTCCATGATCATTGAAATTGCTGTATTTGGCGAAATGGATCCTCCCCGATAGACTTTGTTATGCATTGAGGGATCTGAATCTTTGAACTGTCTGGTGTGCATTGGGTTTAAATTCTGACTTGATGATGACGATTGAGTATTTAAATTTTTTTTGTAAATTTGAGCTACAAGTGCAAGTTTGAAGTTTTCATTGCTCCTTTGTGTCGTCTCTGACTTTGAACAGATTTTTGATTCTGAGTTTGAAAAGAGAGCTTGTTGAAAAGAGACTGCAATTTTCAGTTGGCTGGAAGATGTAGAGGCGAAAGATTTACTTGCGATGTTGTGGTGGGGTTTTTGAAATGTGATGGAAAACATGGGAAGGCGACGAAAAAAGATATAAAAACGATGAGTACCTAGATCGTATGAACACTGATTGATTTGGCAAAATCAGAAGTTCATATGATAGCAAATAGTTCCGCTCTTTTCTGATTGTTTCTTCGTGTTTTGGAGACTCTCCTAGGGTTTCTCTTTAAATCTTGTCTGCTTAAATAATCAAGGTTATTGAAGATTTCTCCGAGTGTTCCAATTTTTACAGCTGAACTTTGATGAAGAGCAGGATACTGCTTACCATTATCAGTTTTGAATAAATTTGATTGAATTATATATGATTTTTTTTTCAATACGGAAGTTTCCTTCTGTACCTTTTAATTAACCAATTTAACAGGGTTTCAAACTTGGAGGTCGCGAGACTGTTTACAAATATGCACTGAAGAGTAAGCTTCAGAGTTTTATTGCGAATTTATCTGGAAAACGCTTTGCATATGAAAGGTCAAAAGAAGCAATTATGCATGAAGAACTCTGCGCGATGAGTTTTGCAATTAATTCCAAAATTATTTGCACTAATTTACAACAAGATATCGAGCTATCGGGATAAGGTCTAACTATTAAGTTGTTCGCTACATAAAGCTTATCATTCAAAAAACTTAAAGATCCGTTAGATGAATGGCTGGAACTGATTGCTAAGATGATTGAATTTGTCTTCAGAAAATTGTTTTCATTAAATTTTAGTTGGATTGTTTGCAAGTCTAAGTTCTGAATAATGTTTTTGGCATGTTTGCCATAGCAAAGATAACATAGCTGGGCCCGGTTGCTTTGATGGCAGGTCGACAGCAGTAGTTGTCATAGTTGGAAACAGTTTTGATGTTGCTGGAGGGGTCTAGGACTAAATCCCCCAGGATAAAATCCCACCGGATATAATTCCCCAGGACTAAATCCCCCGTAGGACCAAATCCCCCGTAGGACCAAATCCCCCTAGGACAAAATCCCTCAGTTCTTAGTTTAAAATCCCCAACATTCGAATTCAATAAAACAGCGACACTGAAACTTAATTAAACGATCAAAGATAAATAACAGAAAAGAAGTAGATAGATAAAAGAATAGAAACTAAATTGAAATGTTAACAGCTATGGCTTTAAGATAATCCAACTCTTTGTAGATAGCGGCAGAGCATACAGTTCTTTTAATCCTCCCAAAATTATCCTCTTTCCTTTTATGCACTTTCTTGCCGAGCTGCATTTGAGCGAAACGAAAAGTTTGAAGTGGCTGCTGCCTGTGAATCGCCTCAATGAATTTCCATATGTCAGGATTAGACATTTGGAGCATGGATTTGAATCCACGGTGGAATCCTTCGAGGGCATTGTTTGTCCTGGGGAGGTCTTCATTGGTCCTGAAGTAAACGTTCCATATATCCATGTCGAATCGCGATTTCCGTCTTGTCGAGTTGCGCGTTTCTTTGCCTACAAAGGTGTCCTCAAAATAATTTTTGATTTCGTCAGGAATGTGGCAGTTTACTAGTATTTACTTATACCCGGCTCCTACATGTAAGGGCGGGGCAAACGCAAGAGCAGCTAAAAGACGTATAGCTAGGTTGAATTCTTTGTTCTCGCGATAATGTACAGCATAACCAAATTCGAGTATCTTTCTGTAAATGGCTTGCGAGAAGTGAAGGAAACAATCTTTGATTTCTGTCTCTGGAAATTTGTCACCCACAGAATTGATACAAGCCATTTCAAAGTCCATCATGATTGAACTGGGGGGGGGGGGGGACGATATCTGCTTTCAAGTCCGACCAGAAAGCGTTTATCGGGGAGTAGGGCATAGAAAAGTTGTTCGATCTACGAAGCAGTGGACACTGTATACTTGGTAAAAGTTATCAGGACAGCTTTTAAAGGTTCCATCAATAAACCAGTTTCCATAAGAGATAAAGATTTCGATATTTTTGTTGATTGCGAACACCAATTATCGCTTACCGGTTCCCGGAACTGTCGAATCTTCAAGAAGAAAACCTTCTCCACTCATGGTTTGCATGTATTTAACAGGCGGTTCAAAATCGAATCCTGTTGGGATCGGTGGCTGGGTACGATTTTCATGTCGGATTCTTTGTTTGAGGTGAGGCACCCCGGCATCTTCGAGGAGCATTCTGGTGTGGCTTTCGCCAGGGCATTTGACAGCACCTTTTGTGTCGAAGAGTCGGTGCAGGCCGCTGCGTTCGCGTTGATCTGTTCGTTAATAAAATATGTTTCCATTAAGGCATAGTCCGGGCCGTGTGTGTGCTCATGTGGCGACGATTTGAGAAATTTGCTCTTTGAAGTCCATATGCTTGCCTTACATTGTTGCTTTGATCGCCGCAACTCCCACTCCCATTGAAGAGAATTGACTAACTCTTTTTTCTTATAGTAAGCGGAAATATTGTGAAGCGCTTTCTGGCCCCCTTTGTTGCTTATTACAAATTTGACTTTGTTTTTTTTTGCATTGTAATTGTTTCGAATGAGTCGGTACTGAATAAAATGCACTTGTTTTACAAACTGAACAAAATTTTGCGTCAAGAGGCAAACGTTTAATTACTAGGGGTGATTAAGTTGCGACCACGCAAACTAGTAGCACACCTGTTACACTAATTGTTTTGCTGGGACTATATCGGGTTTTAATTTGTTTAGCAGTCAACATAAATTAACGTTAAATTAAGTTCAAAATTATGTTCAAAATTTCGGACCCCCCAAAATCAACACTCCGTGGTCCTAGGGGTCTGAAATTTTGACACAATAAAGAGGATGGTTTTCTAGGAATCGGGGACTTCCTTTCACAACATCCCGCACCCCCGCCTTAAGGGAAGCGCGGAATTTCTTACCCCCTGGGGGTAAATTTAACGGACCTATACATTGATTGCACAAAATGTCATATTTGGGATTCGAACTCACGCTGAAGGAGTCAACATTATTTTCCATTCACTTGTCGTACCGACTGTGGCTAATTAATTTTTGCAATCAAAGCTCATTCTTAAAGTTGCTGAAAAGTCACGTCAAAATGGCGATGGATGCTTAAATGGAAGTCAATTCAAATTGGAATCAATAGAAACATGAAATTATATAATGTGTACAATTTGATTTCCATTATACTGAATAAAATATGGGGGATTTTGTCCTAGGGGTATTTAGTCCTATGGTGGATTTAGTTTTGAGGGATTATATCTGGTGGGATTTTATCCTGGGGGATTTAGTCCGCGGGCGTTGCTGGAAGCTTCTGCTGCTTCATGCTCTTTAACTAGTGATGGTTTTACAGCGGTTTTTTTTTTCATTTTCCGCAGTTTGTCTGCACTTTGCTGTTTGTCTGCTTTTTATTCCGTCTGATTCGTGACATATACTGAATACCTGCGCCGAGGGCAAAAGGCTTCAAGGCTTGAGATTTTGGAGAATCAAGACTTATTTTTTTCGTAAATTCTCGGCGGGCTTGGTTCATTTTTGTGATTGAATTAGTGTCGGCAGGTATTCTCGTAGGTGTTTCAAGATTTGCTGGTTGTGGGCCTGAGATTCATTCCATGATGTCGAGCTCGTAACATGTCTTTGCTGAAATAATCAAGGTGACAGGTTCACAGATGGTCTGTCTTACAAGCCGAAAATGATGAGGCTTCAGAGGTTCTGAGTGTGTGGGGTCAGATGACTCATTTGTTAGGTGCAAGAATTCATGATTGCTTCTACATTGCAGGATGACGTAGACAAATTTCGTCATTTAGGGTGCGTGATCCAATTAGTTTGCACAAAATATCTTCGGAAATCTTTACCAATCTTTCCAAATATCTTCCTAAGTTTGGTGCGGCGGGCGTGTTCAATTTGTCTTTTGAAAATTGTTTTAAGTAAGTTTTTGTTTGATTGTTGACTTTTGGTTAGTGTTCAAAGTTCTTGATGAGTGATCAAGGCTGTTCCTCAGCTGGAGAACGGAAGAGCTGTAAAATGAGGCGTGACATGTTTAGTGAAAGATAAATTGATGCGGTGTTCCGATGATTAAATCAAGTTTTCACGGTTGGGAGTGTCGGTAATGAGTAGAGGTTAGTTACTCAAGTTAGTAACTTAGTTCTTCAAATAAGTTTGCATTGGATTGAACGTTTTTCAACCAGATTCCTTCTAAAAAGTGGTAAACTACAATAAAAAGAAGTTGGTTGCGGGATCTAAAAACTGATTTTGAGTTGGTTGTTTCCAACTACGACCTATTTTTATAAATTTCTCTAATTTCGAAAGCGTCATCCAGGTACTCAGCTTCTTCAGTGTTAGCTTCTGCTAGCTTTAGTTGGCTTTCTCGCCAGCAGGTTCATTCAGCTCCAAATTTCATCGGCTTGATGTCTTAAACCCTCCATAGCGTATTTACAAATGAACGTGTTGTTTGTTTAGCTTCTCTGGAGGTGCACAGTCCACGTGCAGTAGACGTGAAATACCGAGTTGGTCAGGTGGTGAAGCACAAGCTGTACAAGTACAGAGCAGTCATCATCGGCTGGGACGAAATACCAAGGGCGCCCAGAGACTGGTTCACGGGTGAGTCACCATTATTTCACAGATTGGAGATCAACTATTTGAGGATAGAAGAAAAACAAGTTCATAAACTCTATACTGTTCTTTTTTTTCAGCGGCATAATTTTATTCTTCAAATTGTCGGTTTTCATATTTTTTGCTGTCGGTAGTTGTGAGTTATGACCGAGGTGGTTAACTCATAGAGTAATTTCGGATAGGGTACACCGTCTGCTCGTCACGCTATCTTATTTTCGGCCGGATAGATTCGTGCAACTTCTTAGTCTAATACCGATCCTAATCTTACTCTTATACTATCTAGTCTCAGGTTGTTTAACTAGTCTCTGCTAGGCTCAATAGATCTAGGGTATACTGGTTTATTGCGGCTGCTGAAGTTCTCTTGGAGAGGCAACTAATTTCTAAGTTAAATTCAAATCTCTCTGGTGCTGAAATTACAAGTAATTTCAGCACTTACAAATAAGTGGGTTGTTAGTTAGATGGATCATGATTGGTTAATATTAAATACTTTACAGTGGTAAAATATCTAATTTATCCAATCATAAAATGTAGTTTAGATCAGGTTCCACCCATCCGGGTTTTACAGAGTTTTTTAGAATAGTCTTTCTGTAATTCAAAGGATGGATGATGGACGTTGGTATTTGGCGAACATCATATTTCTTCTGGATTTTCTTGTTAGAGAAGTTCCAGGTTCAATCGTTGTGTCTTCTCATGACAACGACTGGGTTTTCGCAACAAACTCAAATCTGATTTCAGAATGGTTGGCTATGACAGGTTTTTCCGTTTCATGTAGAGAACTTCTTTTGTGTTTGACCTTGTCTGGGAATGGCGTGGAGATTGTGCGCGGAGGGGATGCCTGGTTACTCGGATCTGTACGTATACTTGAACATCGAGGTGGTCATTGGTCTAGTTCAATGAAGTCCTTTTCTGCGAAGTCAAGTCGTACTCTAAATCCTTTGAGTTGTGATTGTGGGCGGCATATTGATTGTGGTTGGCCATTCTTTTTCGAGTGTAGTGGGGTCATTTTGTCTTTGGATGTTCGTCTTTTGTGTTGTATGCTGATCTATATACTGCAAGGTATAATTTACATTTTATAAAAGTTTTATTAGTTTGGTGTTTTAATTATGATTTTGGTTAGTTGTTTTCACAAAAGCTTTTTGTTTTAGTTTGGTTATTTTGAAGAGTTACTCACCCTTGAGTACCTCTTATTAAAAATAAGAGTGTGGTCACAAAGCGTGGATGTAGCGCGGTGGGTTAGGCCGGCCATAGAGCATGCTCAGGACGTCCTCTCTGGTGGGTTAGGCCAGGAGTGGGAGTATGATTTCGTGCGGTTTCTGTGAGAGGTCCTGTTATGTGATAACGTTTTATGTTGGGTTTATTGTGGTTTTTCTTATGTTTCGTTGGTTGTGTCCTTTTTTCAAAAATCAAATTGTTTTTGGTATGGGTTTGTCTTTCGACTTTTTTGTGTTTTATTATTTCTTTCTTAGACTTTATAATAGTCTTCAAAAGAATAATTTATCCAGTTTTAAACTGGGTTAATCCGGTTTGGGTACCGTTGGTTTCCTTTTCTTAGTCATGCTGTTATTCTATGATTTGTGGTGTTTAGTAAGCTGCGTTGGTTAGTGTTGTTTAGTATATAATTCTTTTCCAACCGGGTTAAAGGAAAGTTTGAAACGTGTTATCTTATGTTAAAGTTGTTGAGTGTGAAAGCTTGAAACTGAAATTCATTATTTTAAACAATTCTTTGTGGGCGAGCTGTGCGAGTGTGGATAGGATTTTTGTGCGAATGAATGGAAATATCAAAAGGTTAGTACTGCATTTTCGTTTTATCAATTTACTACATATAATTTCAATTTTACTGCTAGTTTTTGGGAAAAATTAAGTTACAAATTTTCATCATTATTAGATTTACTGCTTGTGGGGAAACAATTTATAAATTAATTTACTACATTGGTATGAATTTCATTTAAATTAGCTTGTGCAAAATATTAATAGAGTTTTGAGGAATTTGAAGAAGTTTTCTATTTTTTATTTTTCTTTTGTGTATTTTGCAGGTGATCGTGGGATGAAGACTAAAAATCTAAATAAGACATGGATAAAGAATGATTAGTGTTTTTTTTTAAATTTATTAGTTAAGAATATGTATAAGTCATACTTACCTGTTAGTCGTCGGGGAAAAAACCGTGAGGGAAGATGTCGTGGATTATGTCGGAATTTGTTAGTAATTTTGCTAGTATGCGAATAATGTTTTTAGTTTGAAGCAGTGGCCAAAGCAATTGAAGTGCTTTAATGGTTTTTAGTTCTTCAGTGCCAACTGCAAACTCATAAGGTGTGTTTTGGATGAGATTATATAATTTGTGGTTATATTTAGTGTTGTGGATGAATTCTAATATGGGGATTTCTATAGGTTGAACAAATTCATGTGGGATAAGGAAGGGTCTGGATTCTTCTGCGTTGAAGGTCTTTGTGATGGGACAAAAAATATACATTTGGGTTATGGGGTCATAATTGCGAAGAATACCGTGAAGGTTAGTATCTTTGATGCAATATGTGAAGTTAAGAAAAAATGGTGATGTGTATTTAGAGTTAATAAATTGAAAACGATAATGTGGTTGTCTTGATGGAGTGTGTAGGTCAAAGTGATTTTGTATGAAGCGGTAATATGTATATGTGTGGGTTTGTTTAGTGCGTAACATAATGTCGTGTGAGCAGTGCAAATCTCGTTCATGTGGTGCAAGGAAATGAAAGGTTAGTGAAAATAATTGAAATCTTTCTTTAAAACTTTCGTAAGCTTGTGTGTCGGTTAGTGCTTCAGAAATGATGTGGTCGAATTTGCGATCAAATATATTGAGTGTAAAAACATATGGTGTTTTGATGAAAAATTTTTCTGTGATTTGTGGGTTAGCGAAGCGATCATCATCTAAAAATTGGTCTTGGTTAGCTCGGATGATGTTATGATCGTAATATTCTAGCGTATATTCGTTAGCTCGGGGTGCAGTGTATGTTTTTAGTGACTTTTTATATCCTATATAAGTAAATTGTCTATGTGTTAGTGGTGTAGTGAGTCGATATAGCATATTTTGATTTCTTTCTATATCGATGTGAGTATTCGATAAAGGTAGGCAAAGGGGGTTAGTAAAATGATAATATGATGTCCATTGAAGTGTAGGCATTAAAACGTGTTCATCTACAAAACTGCGTTTGTTGTTAGTGTCGTTAGGGGTGTTCAAGGTATACTGTGGAAATGAAGGTAAGGTGATTGCTAAAAATTCTTTCGTGTTAGTATGATTTGGGTGATTAATATATTCACGGGCTGTTCCTGGTTTTGTTGGAAATGGATGGTTTGGGAATTTTCTTTTGAAAGTGCGGTAAGCTCTATTAGTGCTAATTGATGATTCGGTGGATGTGGATGATGGTGCTAATGATGCGGTATAAGCTGAAGAGGGTGTAGGGGTAGGTGGGTTTGATGATTCTATGGTTGATGAAATCTGGTTTATAGTTGAGGTGTCAAGGTGGAAGGGTTGTTGTTGTAAGGTGATAAAATTATCTAGTTCTTGGGAGATTTGGGGGGTGTCTGGAGAATTGGATGATCGGTCTGAATGAAGTGAAGAGTAGGTTGGGGTAACTTGTGAAGCATAGGAGGGTGTAGAAATGGATGGGAGTGGGTTATTTGGTGGGATTGGTTGAAAAGGGGGTTTCGAAAAAACTGAGGGATTGGTTTGAAAATTATTGGATGGGGATGGTTCAGAGTCTGCAAATTCATCAGGGGTTTCAATATCTGGGTTATTGAGTTGTGAGATGGAGTATAAAACTGAGATATGTGAATTAGTGTCTGAATTCATGCCTGATGTTATATTACTGGTTGGGAAATCGGGTGGCGGGAAAGCAAAAAGTGGAATTATTGTAATTGGAGTGTTGAGGTTGGTTGGGTGGGAATTTGAGCGGTGTAGGGATCCAAGTTGTCGGCTCATCGTGGGCTAAAAAAATTATTATTTTGAGACTGAAAAGCAGTTGTATGTGGTTGTTCTATAATTTGTTCATATGTGTTTTCATCTAGTGAATTGTGCGTCATTATATGTTGGATGGGACTTTGTGATATGGTTGGTCTGAAGTTTGGATTATGTGTTATTGCTAAATTTCGAAAATTTCGTGGGACTAGTGATAATGGATGGTTATGTGGTAGGGGTGGTAACTGTGGTGCTGTAGGTGTAATGTCTACATTGTTATGTTCTTCGTCATATGTGTTGTCTTGTTGCTATTTTTGTGTTGTATTCTTTTATTTGTGCGTCTAAAAGAATTTTGTTTAATGATGATGAAAAAATTCCAAAAAATCCTGCAAATAGGATGCGTGCTACACTTGCTTGTCTATTTACTTGTGTGTGTATAGCGCATGTATTATAGATTCCTTTTAAGAGTGAGAAAAGAAATCCTATAAAGTTAAACATTGCGTATAAAATAGTTAATTTTTCTAAGATGTAATAGGGCCATCCTAGAAAATCAAGAATTTCATTTTTGAGTGTAACAAAGCTAAAAATATTTATAGGTGAGATATCTTGTGGTCGGTATTTTTCACCGTTTAGATATATATAGTCTTTAATGTCTTTAAAATATCCGCTATAATCTTGTGTATAAATATCTGCAAATCCTGCGGTTTCGGCAAGTTTGCGTAAGTTTTGGTCAATTGATTGTCTTTGTATAGTGTCCATTTGTGTTAATAATTCTTGGAATTGTTGTGTTCTAATGTGATGTTGTATATCGGATTTTGAATATATTCCAATTGGTTGTAAGTCAATATTTGGGTTTCGAACAATAGCTCTAATGCTTTCAGGTGAAAATTTTTTGAGGGATTGCATTAATGTGGGATATGGGGTAAGAAGGTAATATTTATCTTCATCAGGGTTCAGTTGTACTACATTGTGGCTGCGGTATCCCAGAAATAGGTTCGTCTTGAAAGTGTGCCAACGAAATGTACTTTATTCTTATAAAAGATAGGGATTCTTTTATAACAT